GTGGGATAAATGATATAAAGGGCATTATATACAGGATATATTATATAAAGGGCATTATATACAGGATATATTATATAAAGGGCATTATATACAGGATATATTATATAAAGGGCATTATATACAGGATATATTATATAAAGGACATTGTATACATATATAGCTAGTAGAGTATAAACAGTTCAATCTGAGGCTATCACATCATCCCCTCTTTGTGCTAAGCTAGGCTAACTGTTTCTCCCACTTCCAGTCTTCGTGATAAGCTAACAGGTGATGGAGTCCTCTGACAGTGGGACAAACAGCTGATGTAGGATTTGTCCAACACTTCCAGTCTGAGTTTGTGTCCAGCTGCTGGTCTAAACTGGGAGCTTCCTCCCTCCCCCTCCTCTCTCTCTGCCCCCCCCCCTCCCCACTCAGTCTCTCCACACATCCGACAGCAGCCGGACTGATCAGAGGTGAGTTTGTTTCTTCTCTTTATTGATCTTGATTGATCGCTGATAACACATTGATTATATATTGATAGCATGTTGATAACACGTTGATAGCACATTGATAATATATAGATAATATATAGATCATATACTCTTATACTGACTGCACTCTTGAGGAGAGATAGTGGTAGGGAGAGGTAGAGCGGTAATGATGGACAGAAAACAAATAAATGAACTAAAAATCCTTCAGACTGGATCCAGACCAGATAAACCACTTTGAGTACCAGCTCTGGACCAGATCTGAGTCGCTGTGTTAACTAAATAAAACTATGAACAGGACATAAACCGCTTCATTCTTCCAATAACACAATCAGAATTATTGCTATTAATTGATCAACCCTCATTTGAATAGACACATTTCTGCTTCAAAACAATTCATTAACAGTTGAGCAGGCTAATCTATGTTGGAAAGACAACCACATTTTGAAGATGGTTAAAATATAAGTTAGATAGATAGATAGATAGATAGATAGATAGATAGATAGATAGATAGATAGATAGATACTTTATTTATCCCGAGGGAAATTCAAGCATCCAGTAGCAGCATACACTAGATACATACATACATTAGACATACATTAAAATTTAAATTAAAACAGCAAATGGTGCAAATGGAGGAGGAAATTGTCCATTGTCTATTGTCCTCCCTGCCTTGACTAAGAGCTGTTGTACAGTCTGATGGCCAGGGGGACGAAAGAGTTTTTAAGTCTATTGGTGGAGCTGGATTGGGTTACTTAGTAAAGCATAGTAAATGGACCTGTACTTGTATAGCGCCTTTCTAGTCTTCCGACCACTCAAAGTGCTTTTACACTACAGCCACATTCACCCTTTCACACACATTCACACAGTGACGGCAAAGCCCATCAAACAGAAACTAACTCATTCATTCACATTCACACACTGATGATGTGGAATTAAGCTAACTTAAGATGTGACTATATATGTAGCTAGTCAGCTAGCATTTTGCTAACTTTAACCAACTTAAGATGTGACTATATGGGGTGCCTGGATAGCTCACCTGGTAGAGCTGGAGCCCCGCGTACCAAGGTCCTTGCTGTGGCAGCCCAGGGTTCAGGTTCAACCTGTGGAAAGGAGGAAGTTGCTCAACTGTTATTAAGCAAAAAGGGGCGGGGCTTAGGAAGGTTTGATAAGTCTATCCTGTACTGGAGTAACCCGGTCTGGATCAGTTATTCAGAGTACTGGACTCCAGACCACTTTGAGCAACAGACGTGATCAGAATCACAGAGCTCTACTTCTGGACCAGAATCTGGACTGTCAGTGTGGAGTCTGTGAGGTTTTCAGAGGATTTAATATCTCACTGCAGGAGGAATAACCAGGTCAGATTACTGTCTGAGGACCTGAGTGAAAACACTTATATCTGATTGGCCGACACATCCATTTCCTCCTAATGGATGCACAAAAGCAGCTAGCTGTGCACCCCACTCTGTCCTCCCCTGGGTATCAAAACCATTAGACCAAAGTTCCCCCAACACACAAACACACTGATCAATAACTGACTTCCTTTCGCACATTATCAATATTTAATCTCAGCTCAGCTTCGTTGTCCAACAACCACAATCTGACAGAAAATTACAGAAACCTCAGATTTCACACCTGCAGTGAGACTTCAATAAAAATATCAGATTAATATATATTTCAGAATTAATATCAGATCTATAACAATATGAGTTTAATAATAATATCAGATTAATAATAATATCAAATTAATCATTTTATCAGATCAATAATATGAGTTTAATAATAATATCAGATTAATTTCAATTCCATTTTTCAATTCAATTTTATTTGTATAGCACCAATTCATAACAGAAGTTATCTCAGGACACTTTTCAAATTAGTGCAGCAGATTAATGGCATATTTCAAGAGAAGCGTTCAAATTGGTATACAAGCATGAAATTTGGCACAGATACTCTCTAAGGGTCACTTTTTGGGAAAAAAAAAATCAAAATTCAACATGGCGGCCATTTTTTCAAGATGCCCGCTATTTCTGTCAAATGCTCATTATGTCAATCATTCAAACAGTAATGTAAGCATAACATTTTGTGAAAATACTCTCTTAAGAATGTTTTTTTGGAAAACGGTGCTTGTCCCTCAAAAATTCAAGATGGTAACCATTTTTCAAGATGGCCGCCATTTCTCTTGAATCCTATCATCAATTTTTCAAATGGCGATCCTATCATTAAATTTGGTACAAATATTCTTCAAGGAACATTCTCATGGAAAAGGTGTGTGCCACTCAAAAATTCAAGATGGCCACCATTTTCAAGATGGCCACCATTTCTGTCAGAGCTCAGTTTAATGTGTTAAGGAAGGTTTTGTTTAATAGAGTGAACATCATTACACAACCAGGGCATACTGGTGACTTCACTGCTGTGGAACTCAGCATGGGGTTCAGTGTCAGCTGATCTAGTTTTGCTTACACTGTAGTTCTTGACTAGTAGTAATAGTATAGCTAAGTTTAGTGTCCCAAAGTTCCATCAAATTGGCGCAATAATGATAACAAAACAGACCTCTTCCACTTTCTGACTGACAAGATTGCTCAAATGACTGTGCCAAACATAGTTGTTGTAACCAAGGGACCCGATGTCTTGAGTACATCTGAAACCTGTCTCGATTGTCTAGACAAATGTTTCCATGAGGAAGCTGATAGCTGCATCTTTGTACATGCTAAACATGCCACAGAGGAGGGCAGCAAATCCATAATGATCAAAGCCAATGACACAGATATTATTGTTATAGCATTGAGCATCTTCCCATCCCTCCAGGATCTTGGTCTCCAGCAGCTGCCCCAGTTGCATTTGGGCATGGTGTGAGCCTGCGGTGGATTGGTGTTCATGACCTGTACCATGTTATTGGGCCGGTTAAGACCAAAGGCATTCTATTCTTTCACGGCTTTACAGGTTGTGATAGTGTATCAGCCTTTTGCAAAAAAGGCAAAAAGACCATATGAGGCCGTATGAAGCCATTCCTCCAACTAGAGCAGCTCTGCTTCAACACACTAAACGTGCTGCATATCAGGCAGGCTGCATATGGGGTCAAGCAACCCAGTGTCAGCCAGAAGCAGAGAGTCCTGCTGACGGGGGGATGGAAAAAGCTTGGTGAACAATGGGGGGTCTTCTGGACAGCAAATGCACCAGTTGCACAAAGTTGTGAACAACTAGCCAAGTATGGCTGCAAATCAGAGTGCCGGGAAGATGCAAATGTTTTAGATTTGGTTTCACTTGCACAGAACTGTGTAATTGCAAATGTGAATAAAAAAGCAAGTAGCCTTGCGGTGGGCTGAGAGCCGATTTCCTTATTCTGGACCGTGATGTATTTGTACACCTTCCTGGATATGTTGCCCCCAATACAACACTTGCTGACTGCCAAGCAGGGAGGCATTGGCTACCATTTTTAACAGTCTTTATTATGACTCGGCAGGGCACAACCTCTCAATCTCAGGTTGGACACTCCTTTTAACTCAGTCCCAACAGAGTACACTATTAAAGCAACACCCACGTGGAAAAATGAATCTTGAGTTTTTGCGATTGCCTTTTTCTAAAGGTGTGGCCGTTAGAGTATTTTTGCTAACATGCATGTGTGCATCAGTGTACATACTACCGAAATGACAGCCATCTTGGAAAAGGTCTCCATCTTGAATTTTTTATTGGCCATCCAATTTTTCCAAAAAGTGGCCTTTACAGAGTATTTGTGGCATATTTTCTGTATCACTATTTGGAAACAGTGGCAATGAACATAGGACAGGAATGGGAACCATCTTGAAAAATGGTTTCCATCCTGAATTTTTACTGGCCACTTCCTTTTTCTAACAGTGGCCCTTCCTCTCTGTGGACTGCACCTTGCCGTGGTGGAGAAGCTTGTGTACTCCAGTGACCCTGAGAGCTATGCCGGCAGGGATTTTATATCCCTGGCAAGTTTAACTAAGCCGAACAGGTCAAAGGAGAGGAGGCAGACAAAGCAGACGTTATGACTATTTGACAGAAATTGTGGCCATCTTGAATTTTTGAGTGGCACATACCTTTTTCCAAAACAGTATTTCTGCTAATTTTATGCTTAAATCACCATTTGAACAATTGAAAGAATTAATATTCGACAGGAACAGTGGCCATCTTTAAAAATGGTGGCCATCTTGAATTTTCTAGGGACAAGCATCTTTTTCCATTAACATGTCCTTTAGAGAGTATTTGTATCAAATTGTATGCTTGGATCACTGTTTGAATAATTGATATAATAAGCATTGAAAAGCAATCTTGAAAAAATAGTGGCCCAAAACAGTGGCCCTTAGAGAGTATCTGTGCCAAATTTCATGCTTGTATACAAAAGTGAATTTTTTTTTTACTAATCTGCTGCACTAAATAGAGCAGGTCTAGGCCGAACTCCTTATAACATTATTTACAGAGACCCAACAATACCACCATGAGCAAGACCTTGGAGACAGCGGCAAGGAAAAACTGCCTGTTAAAAGGCAGAAACCTAGGACAGATCCTTCGGCTCTAGGTGGGTGGTCGTCTGTCTCGACCAGTTGGGGTGAAAGAGAGAGAGAGAGAGAGAGACAGACAGACAGAGGTGCACAGCAACAACAGTAGCAACAACTACACTAACAGTAGTAGTAGTAATAGTAGTAGTAGTAATAATAATAATAATAATAATAATAATAATAATAATAATAACAATAATATCAGTGATATTAGCAATGGTAGTCAAGCAGGACCATGGCAGGAGGCTCCACCAGGATCCATGAGAACCTGCGAGATGAGAAAGCACAAGAACTCCGGGGAAGAAGTGAAGTTAGTAACATGCATTAATGGAACATGAATGAGTGCAGAAAGAGAGAGGAAGAGAGGAGCTCAGTGCACCATGGGAAATCCCCCGATAGTCTAGGCCTATAGCCCTGGCTCCTGTTCTACTTTTAGAGACTATAGGAACCACAAGTAGCCCAGCATTCAGAGAACGTAGTGTTCTAGAGGGGTAATAGGGTACTATGAGCTCTTTAAGATATGAAGGGGCCTGACCATGAAGAGCTTTATAGGTGAGGAGGAGGATTTTAAATTCTATTCTACATTTTACAGGGAGCCAGTGCAGAGAAGCTAGTACAGGAGAGATGTGATCTCTTTGCCTAGTTCCTGTTAGTACTCGTGCTGCAGCGTTAATTGGAGCGTCTTAATGCAGTTAATACACATGCAGATGATACGCAGTTATATCTATCGATCAAGCCCAATGAAATTCATCAATTATCCCTTGTTACTTTTAGGCTGGATCACTGCAACTCTTTATTATCAGGCTTCCCCAATAAGTCCATTAATTCAATTTTCAATTCAATTCAATTTTATTTGTATAGCGCCAATTCATAACAGAAGTTATCTCAGGACACTTTTCAAATGGAGCAGGTCTAGACCAAACTCCTTATAACATTTACAGAGACCCAACAGTACCACCATGAGCAAGCACTTGGAGACAAGGGCAAGGAAACACTGCCTGTTAAAAGGCAGAAACCTAGGACAGATCCTCCGGCTCTAGGTGGGTGGTCGTCTGTCTCGACCAGTTGGGGTAAGAGACAGAGACAGAGACAAAGACAGACAGACAGACATTTGCACAGCAACAACAGTAGCAACAACTACACCAATAGTAGTGACTGATGATGATGAACATGAAGAAGACGATGAAGACGACAACAGCAACGATGGGGGACAATGAGCAGTGACAATAGTAACAATAGTAACTGTAGTAATAAATAAAATAAAACTAAGGGATGGTTCAGGACTCACCTGATCCAGCCCTAACTATAAGCTTTATCAAAGAGGAATGTCTTAAGCCTACTCTTGAATGTGGTGAGGGTGTCTGCCTCCCGAACCACAACTGGAAGCTGGTTCCACAGGAGAGGAGCTTGGTAACTGAAGGCTCTGGCTCCTGTTCTACTTTTAGAGACTATAGGAACCACAAGTAGCCCAGCATTCAGAGAACGTAGTGTTCTAGTGGGGTAATAGGGTAATATGAGCTCTTTAAGATATGAAGGGGCCTGACCATGAAGAGCTTTATATGTGAGGAGGAGGATTTTAAATTCTATTCTACATTTTACAGGGAGCCAGTGCAGAGAAGCTAGTACAGGAGAGATGTGATCTCTTTTTCTAGTTCCTGTCAGTACTCGTGCTGCAGCGTTCTGAATTAATTAGAGCGTTTTAATGGACTTATTGGGGCAACCTGATAATAAAGAGTTGCAGTGAATAGAATTGGTCCAGAAGTACAGAACCTTGTGGAACTCCGTGACTAACTTTAGTATTTATGGAGGATTCATTGTTAACATGTACAAACTGAGAACACATTAATAATAATATCAGATTAATAGTAATATCAGATTAATAATAATATCAGATTCATTATTTTATCAGATCAATAATAATTTTAGATTAATAATATTTTTTGATACATAATAATATCCGATCAATAATAATATCAGTTTAATAATAACATCAGATCAATAATAATATCAGTTTAATAATAACATCTGATCAATAATAATATCAGTTTAATAATAATATGAGATCAATAATAATATCAGTTTAATAATTATATCAGATTGATATATAAAATTATTAAAATAAACAAAATAAAGGTTTAACTAAACATGAGTTCAACTTCACTTAACTAACATGAAAGAAGTCAAAAGCTCAAAGATTTAAATATTTATATCACATAAAATACACTTTCTGACGCTCTGATTGGCCATCAGGATGGTAAATGGTAAGTGGACCTGTACTTGTATAGCGCCTTTCTAGTCTTCTGACCACTCAAAGCGCTTTTACACTACGTGCCACATTCACCCTTTCACACACATTCACTCAGTGATGACAAAACCCATCGAACAGAAACTAACATTCATACACACACACAGCATTGGGAGCAATTCGGGGTTCAGTATCTTGCTCAAGGATACTTCGACATGTGGCACCAGGGGCCGGGGATCGAACCCACAATCTTCCAATTAAGGAACGACCCGCTCTGCCTCTGAGCCACAGCCACCCTACTCAACTTCCTGTTTCTGAAGCTCTGATTGGCCAACAGGATTTGTTTCCTCTGTCTGCAGGATGTTGTCGTCTGCACCAACCACCTCCCTTCCCACCTCTGCCACCCCTCTTCCTCCCCATCAGATGACCTCTGATCCTCGCCATGTTACCATGGAAACCTACTGGAGAGAAGTGCAGAGCATTGAGGAGGAGAAGGAGGGAGAGGAAGAAGAAGATGAAGAAGAGAGGAAGAGTATGGATGGTGAGTCAGACTGACAGCAGAGTGAGGCATCATCTTTCTGTCTGATTCCACCTATCTTTGTTTACCTGCAGAGGTGGAGATGGAGGAGGCGTGGCTGACGGAGGCCGGTTTATCCTCCCTGGTGACGGGTGTGGCGTCAGAAGAGGCGTTGCCGACACCCCCGGAGGTGCTGCTGTCCACATTGACACGGCAACAAGCCGCCACTGTGAGGAAGAGGCTGGACAACTACAACGAGACTCTGAAGATCAGAAACAGGCAGCCAATCAGAGACGTCCGGGACGTCTTCACTGAGGTACCATATGTGTACTAGTACAGTACACACAGTACACAGTACACAGTACACAGAACACAGTACACACAGTACACAGAACACAGTGCACACACTACACACAGTACACACATAGTACACACAGTACACACAGTATTGTAATAATCGTAATTTTACATAAATATGACTCAGCTCCAGCCTGATGATGACTCAGCAGACAGATGCCCCTCCCCTACCACTCACTACGCCGAGTCAGCACCGAGTCAACATCATACTACCACCAAAACCATTCGCCGAAACACTCACAGAGGTACCTGTCTGTCTGCTTACCTGTCTGTCTGCTCACCTATCTGGTCCTAGAACTCCACCACTGGGTTCTAATGATCCTTTATGAAGTTTTAGAAGTCGGTTTCAGTTCTTGATGTAATTGAGGTTATAGTGGTCCTGTAGGTGGTTATAGTGGTCCTGTAGGTGGTTGTAGTGGTCCTGTAGGTGGTTGTAGTGGTCCTGTAGGAGGTTGTAGTGGTCCTGTAGGTGGTTATAGTGGTCCTGTAGGAGGTTGTAGTGGTCCTGTAGGTGGTTATAGTGGTCCTGTAGGTGGTTATAGTGGTCCTGTAGGAGGTTGTAGTGGTCCTGTAGGAGGTTGTAGTGGTCCTGTAGGTGGTTGTAGTGGTCCTGTAGGTGGTTTTAGTGGTCCTGTAGGAGGTTATAGTGGTCCTGTAGGTGGTTGTAGTGGTCCTGTAGGTGGTTATAGTGGTCCTGTAGGTGGTTATAGTGGTCCTGTAGGAGGTTGTAGTGGTCCTGTAGGTGGTTATAGTGGTCCTGTAGGAGGTTGTAGTGGTCCTGTAGGTGGTTGTAGTGGTCCTGTAGGAGGTTGTAGTGGTCCTGTAGGTGGTTATAGTGGTCCTGTAGGTGGTTATAGTGGTCCTGTAGGAGGTTGTAGTGGTCCTGTAGGTGGTTATAGTGGTCCTGTAGGAGGTTGTAGTGGTCCTGTAGGAGGTTATAGTGGTCCTGTAGGTGGTTATAGTGGTCCTGTAGGTGGTTATAGTGGTCCTGTAGGAGGTTGTAGTGGTCCTGTAGATGGTTATAGTGGTCCTGTAGGTGGTTATAGTGGTCCTGTAGGAGGTTGTAGTGGTCCTGTAGGTGGTTATAGTGGTCCTGTAGGAGGTTGTAGTGGTCCTGTAGGTGGTTATAGTGGTCCTGTAGGTGGTTATAGTGGTCCTGTAGGAGGTTGTAGTGGTCCTGTAGGTGGTTATAGTGGTCCTGTAGGAGGTTGTAGTGGTCCTGTAGGTGGTTATAGTGGTCCTGTAGGAGGTTGTAGTGGTCCTGTAGGTGGTTGTAGTGGTCCTGTAGGAGGTTGTAGTGGTCCTGTAGGTCAGGGGTCAGCAACTAAGTTTGGCCTCGGGCCAGATATTTTCCAAGCCATTACATGGCGGGCCACAACCAAAACAATGGCTAATTTAATGAATTAATAGGGGAGGAGGGGTGATAGTGAAAATGATAGGTGCTCTTGAAATGACAGAGCAGACGCACTGAGACATTCAAGCGGGCTGATGTAGGTTACATTTGTGGACTGACCACTGGGGGGCAGTAGCGCGCCCCAGTGGTATAATTAGTAGCAATTATATGCCTGTTAAAAAAAAACATTTCCTGTTGCTGTTAGCTATCGAAAAATGGCACTATCAAAAAATCTCAAGAGAAAAATTAACAGCGAAAACAGGATTTTTCATGATGAATGGACAGAGAACTATGCCTTCATCCTCCCCAGTTTTATTAATGCAAAGCCCACATGTCTGATCTGTAACGAGGGTGTCTCTGCATGCAAAGAGTACAATATTAGACGGCACCACGAAACGAAGCATGCTAATTTCAGGGTTGCGTTCCCTCAGAAGACAGAGGCACGAAAGCGTAAAATCGAAGCCCTGAAAGGTGCTTATGCACACAGCACCAGGATCCTGGTGCGAGGCCTCACATCCCAACAGAAGGTAACTAGTGCGTCTCTGAAAGCGTCCTGGGTGCTCGCAAAGCACAACAAGCCATTCACTGACGCAGAGGTCTTCAAGGAGATGATGGTGACAGTTTTGGAGGAACTTGATACCAACAAGTCGATGGATGATGTGATCGGGTCAGTGAAACAGATGTCGCTCTCTGCGAGGTCCGCTGCCCGCCGCATAGAAGCGCTGTCTGATGCGGTGCTGGGTGCAATTATCGACGGTGTCAGTCGCGCAAACTACTTTTCCTTAGCCATTGATGAGAGCACTGACAACACAGATATAGCCCAGTTGTGCATTTATGTGAGATACTTTGATGGGAAGGATTTCAAGGAAGAGTTGCTGTCTCTTATTCCATTAGAAGGGCACACCACTGGAGATGCTATATTTGCGAAACTGGAAGAGTTGTTTCAGTTGCATTCATTATCATTTGAGAGGGTTAACCTAATTGTGACAGACGGGGCTCCTGCTATGGTGGGAAAGCACAGAGGTCTGGTGAGCAGGCTGAAAGAACTCGCCCCCCAAATGCACGGGCTGCACTGCCTCATCCACCAAAGTGTCCTCTGTGCCAGACTGAATGGCGAGCTAAAGAATGTTATGGACAAAGTGATGAAAGTCATTAACTTTGTCAGAGGTACATCAAGCACCCAGCATAGGCTTTTCAGACAACTTGTTGCTGAGTCAGCAGATGCCGCCCACGATGACTTGCTGCTTCACAATGATGTGCGCTGGTTAAGCAAGGGGAAAGCACTGGATCGCTTCTGTGCGCTACTGAATGAGATCAAAGCGTTCCTTGGAATGAGCAAGAGCAAGGCAGCAGCTGACCACCTTATCCTGCTGGAAGATGAAAAGTTCATGTCCAATGTAGCGTTTTTATCTGACATATTTGGCCACCTAAACCTGCTTAACCTTCAGCTACAGGGGGAGAGACAAAACCATCGTGGACATGGTTGAAAAACTGGAGTCATTCACAAGGAAGCTTGAGATGCTTGAGGCAGACATATCTACCGGCAGGCTCCTACATTTCAGCACACTGAAGAAGACAGCGGGAGAAGTGACGGAGTTGATGGTTGACTTCATCAAGAGGCTACGAGCCAACTTCACTTCTCGGTTTGATGACTACTCCATCCCAAAAGACATCATTGACTTTATACGTGACCCTGCAGTAAAACCAGCCGACAACTTCTCCTTCCTGGCAAAAGAAATGATCTCCTCTTTGGATCAGGCTGCGCTGGAAATGGAAATTATTGACTTCCAAACCACCTCAGTTGTGCGAGATGCGCTCAGAAGTGCGGAGTCCGTGAGTGCCTTTTGGGTAGGCCTACTATGCTCCGAGGAATACAGCAACCTCAAGAAAGTCGCACTTTACATTCTGACAATGTTCCCTTCCACCTACGTATGTGAGTCGTCCTTCTCAGCTATGAATGCAATAAAAACGCATGAGAGGAATAGACTGACTCACCAAAATCTCGAGAACTGCCTGAGGATTAAAGTGACGTCTATTTCACCAGATATCCAGCAAATAGTGACCAGTGGGAGATGCCACTTTTCACACTAGGTGAGTAATCTAAACCAGTAATTGTGTCTAAAATCTGAACTGTATTTTTAATGAATGTCTCGTTGTAGGCTAGGCATAATTCAGGCAGTAAATGTAGCACGTCTGCTCTGTCGTTTCAGGGGCCGAGCACTCCAGCCCATGGTCGAGTGGATTCAGCTTTTTTGCTTCGTACTTTTTTGCTCTGATTTGCTCCGATTTAACAGTGCAATGCATTGTTATCAGTTTACATTTTTGGTGCCACCACAGTCATATAAAGGCCTAAATAACACGCACGCTATGTTTGAAACTCGTGTTTTACTTTTCACAGTTCTATGTACGGAAATGCCTATGTTTGATGTCTGGCCTGTTTGAAAGAAGTCGTGTTTTAATTTTCACAATAATATGAAGCCTATGTCCGTTGTTTGAATGACAACTTGTGTTTTAGGGACTAGTTTGGGATTTCAGCACCAGGCGCTGTCCACTGACTTCATTTGTTTTTGCATGTTGAGCGTTCACGCTGCACCTCGCTGATGTGCGTATTCACTCTGTATCCAGATAAAACAAATAAGCATTTAGATTGAGGAAATTTTTCTGTTCTGGAAAATGAAGGTTCCAATAAAGAGCATTTTTGAGACTGGCAGTCCGATTTTTTAAAAGTATATTTTATATTTTTATTATCATTCTCTAGTTCAAACAATCTCATGGGCCAGATGTTTTTGCTTGCGGGCCACATCTGGCCCGCGGGCCGCCTATTGCCGACCTATGCTGTAGGTGGTTATAGTGGTCCTGTAGGTGGTTATAGTGGTCCTGTAGGAGGTTGTAGTGGTCCTGTAGGTGGTTATAGTGGTCCTGTAGGAGGTTGTAGTGGTCCTGTAGGAGGTTATAGTGGTCCTGTAGGTGGTTATAGTGGTCCTGTAGGTGGTTATAGTGGTCCTGTAGGAGGTTGTAGTGGTCCTGTAGGTGGTTATAGTGGTCCTGTAGGTGGTTATAGTGGTCCTGTAGGAGGTTGTAGTGGTCCTGTAGGTGGTTATAGTGGTCCTGTAGGTGGTTATAGTGGTCCTGTAGGAGGTTGTAGTGGTCCTGTAGGTGGTTATAGTGGTCCTGTAGGTGGTTATAGTGGTCCTGTAGGAGGTTGTAGTGGTCCTGTAGGTGGTTATAGTGGTCCTGTAGGTGGTTATAGTGGTCCTGTAGGAGGTTGTAGTGGTCCTGTAGGTGGTTATAGTGGTCCTGTAGGTGGTTATAGTGGTCCTGTAGGTGGTTATAGTGGTCCTGTAGGTGGTTATAGTGGTCCTGTAGGAGGTTGTAGTGGTCCTGTAGATGGTTATAGTGGTCCTGTAGGAGGTTGTAGTGGTCCTGTAGGTGGTTATAGTGGTCCTGTAGGAGGTTGTAGTGGTGCTGTAGTTGTTGTTTCCTGTTCTGTAATAATCAGCTGTTTTTCTGTTTGGTTCCAGGTCGACCAACTCTTCCAACTTTCCTGTTTAATAATGAACTACCTGAACACCCATCATCCCCCCCACACACAGACTGCCACCCACACACAGACCCCCCCCCACACACACACACTCCAGTCATCTGTCAGTCGAGACGAGCTGATTGGCTTCTGCGGGACTCTCCATACTCAGAGGGCGTGGCTGAGCACAAACGGGGCAGGACTTGCTGGGACTGCCTGTGTTTCCATGGAGACGACAATGGTGACGTGCCGGTGAGTCTGACCTCTGACCTCACTTAGTGTGAGTCTTATTTAGTAGATAATGATGATTTAGGTTTATCAGTTCCCATGATGCTTTGAGGGATGTAAACAGTGGTTTTGTTGGGTTAGCAGAGATCTGGATGAAAAGTATTTAACGTGTGTGTGTGGGTGTGTGTGTGTGTGTAGTTTGTACCTGTCTCACCCTCTCAGGGTCTGACATGGGCAGATGACCTGTCGTCATGTGATCTTGTTCGTCTCGGCTTCATCTCTCACATCGAGCTCTCCACCTTCCTGCTCACTCTGGGTGTCCAAACCAAACGCACCCGCCCACCGCGCATCAGGACCCGGGGTGCGCATCGTTTTTACACCACACAACACACAGCAGAGGGGTCAGAGGTCATTTCCCCTCACACCGTCTGACTGCTGTCTGTCTGTCTGTCTGTCTGTCCGTCTGTCTGTCTGTCTGTGTGTCCATCAGACAGCGGTGTGTTTGGCGTTCCTCTGAACACGCTGTTGGAGAACGATAGGAAGAAGTTTCCTGGAATCAAGGTTCCTGTTGTCTTCCAGAAGGTCTGTTTGTAATTTATATTGATCATAGTTTCATTATTGATTATTGACTTTATTATCTTCAAATGTAAAGTGTAAAATGACTGTTGAGGACCAGAATTAGCTTCCTGCTAACAGCTGAACATTCCTGTGGTGCAGTGTGTGGTTAGCAGTTAGCATGAAGCTAACAGTGTATTAAAGTTGAATTTCGATCAGATCAGCTGCTGTAAGAGAACACCAGAGACTGACCTCAGACCAGCTGCAGGTTCTCATGTTCCTGCAGAAGAACGTCGTATTAGATCCATAATACAACATCTGCTCATTTATTATTGTGTGTGTGTGTGTGTGTGTGTGTGTAGTTGTTGTGTATTTTAGAGCAGAGCGGCCTGCAGACTGAAGGGATTCTCAGAGTACCAGGATCAGCTGCTAGACTGAAGGTAACACTCCCTGTAACTCCTACCGGTTAGGCTGGGGGAGGCTGGGGGAGGCTGGGGGAGGTGGGCTAGAGTTAGGGTTAGTTAGTGGAGATAGGAGTTAGGGTTAGTGAGATTGTGGAGTGTTTGTCTTTCTAGTAGTTTTTAGAAAAATGAAATCAACTGAGATGCTACTTCACCACTTCCTTCCTGTTTCGATGCGGATAGATAGAAGTTAGCTAGCTTTTCATTTATGAATTCTATTCTATTCTGTTCCTTTTTCTTCTGATTAACGCTTTTATTGTTGGGTCTGTAGGGTATTGTTTATTTTATCTGTCTGTCTGTCTGTCTGTCTGTGTCTTTAGTACCTGCGGAGAGAGTTAGACAGATGTTGTGGAGGGTTCGACTGGTCTGCAGTCAGACAGGTGGACGCTGCAGGTCTGCTGAAGCTTTTCATCAGAGAGCTGCCGACACCTCTGCTGACGCACACACACCTGTCCACCTACCGCTCAGTGCTGGGTACACACACACACACACAGACTCACACTCACACACTTACACACTCACACACACACACACACACACACACACACAGACTCACACTCACACACTCACACACTCACACACACACACACACACACACACATACACACACACACACACACACACACACACACACACTCACACTCACTCACATTCACACTCACACACACACACATATACACACACACACACACACACATACACACTCACACACTCACGAACACATATAACTCATATTGTTGTTTATATATAACTCATGTTGTTGTTTATATATAACTCATGTTGTTGTTTATGTATAACTCATATTGTTGTTTATGTATAACTCATATTGTTGTTTATATATAACTCATGTTGTTGTTTATGTATAACTCATGTTGTTGTTTATATATAACTCATGTTGTTGTTTATGTGCAGGTATCTCCTCTGTGGTCCACCAGGTCCAGGCTCTGCAGCTGCTGTCCTTGTTGCTTCCTGAAGCTCACAGAGAAACACTTCGAGTAAAGTTTCACAACACACACACTTCTTCATCATGTTAGTCTCAGCTGGTTCAACCTCTCACCTGGCTGCAGTGACGTACAGGTGTACTCCAGGACACCGTTACATCACTGCTGGGTGTGGTTACAGGTGCAACTCCTTTAACCACACCCACCCTCATGGTCAGAGGATCTTCCACCTTATTTACATATCCACAGTTACAGATAAACTTGGTCCTGTTGCCGTGGTTACAGATGTGTTTCCGTGGTTACAGGCCATGCTGGTCTTCCTCCGTAAGGTGGTCTCTCATCAGGACCAGAACAGGATGTCTCTGTGGAACGTTTCCATGGTGATGGCGCCCAACCTGTTCTCCCGCCATCACCGTGGCAACAAGCGCTCCGTTGCCAAGCAACGGGAGGAGATGGAGGAGGCGATGGGCGGAGCTCAGCTGGTCCGATTGATGATCACACAGCAGGACCTGCTGTGGACGGTGAGCCAGGGACACCTGCACTGTGACATCATCGTCTCACCTGTCTGTGACATCACTTCCTGTCTCCTTCACCAGGTCCCCAGCTTCCTGCTGTCTCAGGTGAGACAGATGAACCAGGCGTCCAATCAGAGACAGCTCGGCCTGACCAGGACCAGGAGACGACTACTGAGGAGGAAGACCAACAGAGACCAGAGCCAGGTGAGACAGAGACCAGGACCAGGTGAGACAGAGACCAGGTGAGACAGAGACAAGAGCCAGGTGAGACAGAGACCAGGACCAGGTGAGACAGAGACAAAAGCCAGGTGAGACAGAGACCAGATGAGACAGAGACCAGAGCCATGTGAGACAGAGACCAGGTGAGACAGAGACCAGAGCCATGTGAGACAGAGACCAGGTGAGACAGAGACCAGGTGAGACAGAGAACAGAGCCAGGTGAGACAGAGACCAGGTGACACAGAGACCAGAGCCAGGTGACACAGACCTTTACTGTACCTATATATATATACTGTATCTATATATATACTGTACCTCTATATATAGAGTAAAAAAAAACTTCCCTCTCACCCTCTTGGGGTGGTATCTGTGTCATCCTCAAGCTCGGGTCCTCTACCAGAGGTCTGGGAGTTTGAGGGTTCTGCGCAGTATCTAGCTGTTCCTAGGACTGTGCTCTTCTGGACTGAGGCTTCTGATGTTGTTGCTGGGATCTGTTGGAGCCACTCCCCCAGTTTGGGGGTCACTGCCCCGAGAGCTCCTACTACCACGGGGACCACGCTCGCCTTGACCTTCCACATCTGCTCCAGCTGTTTTTTCAACCCTTGGTACTTTTCAACCTTTTCGTGTTCCTTCTTTCTGATGTTGGCGTCTGCTGGTATGGCCACATCTATCACCACCGCCTTCTTCTGCTCCTTGTCTACCACCACTATGTCTGGTTGGTTGGATCTGCTTTGTGTGAAGAGATACACCAAGGAGGCAGAGGCCAGGAGAATAAACAAGCTGTTCTCCACTGAACCAGCCAAGGTGTACTCTCAGTGGCAGGGAGGAAATAACAACAGGTCAGACCCACCAAGAGCTGAGGTGGAAGAATACTGGAAGGCCATATGGGAAAAAGAGGCATCACACAACCCAGATGCCCAAAGGTTAGTGGACCTAAGAGCAGACCACAGCAACCTCCCAGAACAAGAACCAGTAACCATCTCAATGGCAGACATCCAAGAAAGAGATGAAGAGCTGGACAGCACCAGGCCCCAATATGATCCATGCCTACTGGCTGAAGAAGCTAACTCCATGAACGCCTAGCAGCACAGATGAACCAGCTGCTAAGGGATGGGTCCCACCCAGAGTGGCTAACCCAGGGAAGGACGGTCCTAATCCTGAAGGACCCTCAGAAGGGACCCATCCCATCCAACTACCGGCCAATAACCTGTCTCTCCACAACATGGAAGGCCCTGTCAGGCATCATCGCGGCTAAGATGAGTAAGCACGTAGCTCAATACATGAGCGGGGCTCAGAAGGGAATTGGTAGCAACACCAGAGGAGCCAAGCACCAGCTACTGGTCGATGGAGCAGTCGCCCGAGACTGTAAGACCAACCTGTGCACCCCCTGGATCGACTACAAGAAAGCTTACGACTCAATGCCCCACTCGTGGATACTGGAATGTCTGGAACTGTATAAGATCAACAGGAACCTAAGGGCCTTCATCCAGAACTCAATGGGAATGTGGAAGACAACCCTAGAAGCCGACTCAAAGCCAATTGCCCAAGTCAACATCAAATGCGGCATATACCAAGGAGATGCGCTATCACCACTGCTGTTCTGCATAGGCCTGAACCCCCTCAGTCAGATCATCACAAAGAGTGGTTACGGGTACCAATTCCAAAGTGGAGCAACAATTAGCCACCTGCTCTACATGGATGACATTAAGCTGTACGCCAGGAATGAGCGAGAAATCGACTCACTGATCCACACCACCAGGATCTACAGCAACGACATAGGGATGTCACTCGGATTGGACAAGTGCGGCCGGATGGTCTCAAAGAGAGGCAAGATGATCAGAACTGAAGGGGTTGACCTACCAGAGGGCAACATAGGTGATATCCAAGACAGCTACAAGTACCTTGGTATCCCACAGGCTAATGGAAACCATGAGGAAGCCGCAAGGAAGTCAACCACAACCAAATACCTCCAGAGAGTAAGGCAGGTCCTGAAAAGTCAGCTGAATGGCAGGAAGAAGATCCAAGCCATCAACATGTACGCAGTACATCAGAAAAATGGCCACAAAGGATGAACTGCTAAGTGAATGTCTCAGGCAACAGAAACCCGATAAGAGTGCAGAAGAAGAAGAGGAGCAGACAACCTGGAGGGACAAGCCCCTACATGGCACGTACCACCGCCAAATTGAAGAAGTGGCTGATATCGAGAAGACCTACCAATGGCTGGAAAAGGCTGGACTCAGAGACAGCACAGAGACACTGCTCATGCAGGCCCTAGGTACAAGAGCCATAGAGTCCAAGATCTACAAGAGTAGATCTGACCCAAGGTGCAGACTATGCAAAGATGCCTCTGAGACAGTCCAGCACATAGTAGCAGGGTGTAAGATGCTAGCCGGTTCAGCGTACATGGAGAGACACAACCAAGTGGCTGGAATAGTGTACAGGAACATCTGTACCCAGTATGGAATAGAAGAACCCAAATCCCAATGGGCCACACCACAGAAGGTGGCTGAGAACAACAGGGCCAAGGTGCTGTGGGACTTCAGCTTCCAGACTGACAAACAGATCCTGGCTAACCAACCGGACATAGTGGTGGTAGACAAGGAGCAGAAGAAGGCGGTGGTGATAGATGTGGCCATACCAGCAGACGCCAACATCAGAAAGAAGGAACACGAAAAGGTTGAAAAGTACCAAGGGTTGAAAAAACAGCTGGAGCAGATGTGGAAGGTCAAGGCGAGCGTGGTCCCCGTGGTAGTAGGAGCTCTCGGGACAGTGACCCCCAAACTGGGGGAGTGGCTCCAACAGATCCCAGGAACAACATCAGAAGCCTCAGTCCAGAAGAGCGCAGTCCTAGGAACAGCTAGATACTGCGCAGAACCCTCAAACTCCCAGGCCTCTGGTAGAGGACCCGAGCTTGAGGATGACACAGATACCACCCCAAGAGGGTGAGAGGGAAGTTTTTTTCTTTTTATACTGTACCTATATATATACCTATATATATATATATATACTGTATCTATATATGTACTGTATCTATATATATACTGTATCTATATATATACTGTACCTATATATATACTGTATCTATATATACTGTACCTATAGCGTGTGTGTGTGTGTGTGTGTGTGTGCAGGTGGAGCTGTGTGAAGGTGTGATCAGGGTTCACGCCCCCCTGCACACTAAGGTCTCCATGGCGATACAGCTTGATGGACAGATGAGAGCCAAAGATGTCACCGCCCGCTTTGAGTGTGACAACAGGTAACACAATCAATTAATCAATGATTGATCGATATGTTATCATTGTGTTGTATCGCTCTCTGATCAAATCTTTATTGTCACGAACACATTGTGAGTAGAACTCTTCTTCATAATAATAATAATATGACTGATTATTATTAATATTCATTCTGTCTGTCTCTACCTTTAGTCCTGTTCAGCGTCTGTATGAAGTCGGTGGCAACATCAGTGAGTATAATGTAAACATTAACACTGAGTATTATTACATATATATATTATTATCATTATTATTATCATTATTATTATTTTCATTTTTATAATTATCATTATTATTATTATTATTATTATTATTATCATCATTATCATTATAATTATTATTATTGTTATAATTATCATTATCATTATTCTTATCATTATTATAATTATCATTATTTTATCATTATAATTATTATTATTATCATCATTATAATAATTGTTATGATCATTATTATTATTATCATTGTTATCATAATCATTATCATTATTATTATTATTGCCATTATTATAATTATTATTACCATTTATTATTATTATTATTAATATCATCATTATTATAATTATTATTATCATCATCATTATAATTATCATTATTATAATCATTCTAATTATTATTATTATTATTATTGGTATTATCATAATTATTATTATTACCATTATTATAAGTATTATATCATTCTTTTCATTATCATCTCATTATCATTATTTTCATTATTATCATTATTATCATCTTCATTATTATCATTATTATTATTACCATTATTATATTATCATTATTATTATTACATTATTATCATTATCACCATTATTATTACATTATTATTATCATTATCATTATTACCATTATTATTATCATCATTATCATTATTACATTATTATTATCATTACATTATCATTATTACATTATCATTATTATTATTACTTTATTATTATCATTATTATTACCATTATTATTAATCATCATTATCATTATTACATTATTATTATTACCATTATTATTATCATCATTACATTATTATCATCATTGTTATTACCATTATCATTATTATCATCATTATTACATTATTATTACCATTATTATTATATCATTATTATTATTATTATTATTATTATTATTGTTATTAGTTATTTTTATCATTATTATTACCATTATCATTATATCATCATTATTACCATTATTATTATCATATCATTATTATTATTATTATTATTGTTATTTTTATCATTAGTTATTACCATTATTATTATAATCATTAAATTAATAAATCTTGTCTGCCTCTCTACTTGTCTGTCTGTCAGCTGAGCGTCGGCTCCATCCCGACTGTCTGCTGCTTGACGTGTACAGAGTGAATCCTCACTGTGATTGGCTGATCAAGCCCTGACGGCCTGTCTCACGGCCTGTCTCACGGCCTGTCTCACGGCCTGTCATGATGGTGACTGTTAACATTCAAACAGCAGCCCAGATGTGACATCACATCCCTTCATTCATCAGACAAACAAACAAACAGCTGTTTTTTAAATGTCAACAATAAACTAATAAACAGAAGCTGTTGTTTGTATTCATTGTTTATGATTGATTGATTATTGATCTGAATCTGATGGTCTTCTCCTGCAGGTTGTAACTGTTATAAGTGACATGTCAATGTACTTCATCTGTGTCACCATGGAAACAGCCCTGAGTGTGTCCCCTCTGGGCCGCAGTAGTGACGCAGTGAACTCAAACTCACGAGTGGTTTAAAACAGCTCTGCTCATTAAACTGAACAGAACAACAGTTTTATTTACAACACAAACATTTTCTGTACACACTGAAAAACAGATCCTGTCCAGTCCAAACACTCGTACTTACAAATCTTACACACAGCCGAGGGTCAGCCATGTTTGTCACATGATCGCTGAGGTCATCAGTTCATGTTCACGTCAGTTCATTGATCACTGATCAGAGCCAAAAAAAAAAAAAGAAAAAGAAAACTTCTACAAACACAGAACTCCAAAAGAGTCTGCTGAAGAATAAAAAACCAATAAAGATCAATAAAGGCAGTGACAGTATGTCCACTAGCAGCAGCAGCAGCTGACCAAGTCCAGATGTGGGCAGCAGCTGATGGTTGGAGCAGCTGCTGGAGTCCAGATGTGGGCAGCAGCTGATGGTTGGAGCAGCTGCTGGAGTCCAGATGTGGGCAGCAGCTGATGGAGTCCAGATGTGGGCAGCAGCTGATGGTTGGAGCAGCTGATTGTGTCCAGATGTTGGCAGCAGCTGATGGTTGGAGCAGCTGATTGTGTCCAGATGTTGGCAGCAGCTGATGGAGTCCAGATGTGGGCAGCAGCTGATGTTAGGAGCAGCTGATGGAGTCCAGATGTTGCTCCTCAGCAGCCATGGCGGCAGCCTGCAGTGTCTCTGTGTCGCTCTGCAGTGGATTCAGCTGCTTCCTCTCACTGTGCATGTTGTTCTCATGACGCTTCAGATCTGACGCCTGAAAGTAGAGTGACACTGAACGCACCGCAGGTAGCAATACACACTGACAGTACTGTACAGTGTACTACTGTGAGTATTATTATTATTATTATTATCATCAGTATTATTAGTATCATTATTATTATTATCAGTATAATTATTATTAGTATTATTTTATTATTAGTATTATTATTATCATTAGTAGTATTATTAGTAGTATCATTAGTATTAGTATTATTATTAGTAGTAGTATCATTAGTATTATTAGTGTTAGTATTAGTATTATTAGTAGTATCATTAGAATTAGTATTATTATTATTAGTATCATTAGAATTAGTATTATTAGTAGTAGTATCATAAGTATTATTAGCTGTATCATTAGAATTGGTATTATTATTAGTAGTAGTATTATAATTATTAGTAGTATCATTAGAATTAGTAGTATAAGAATTATTATTAGTAGTATAATTAGAATCATTAGAATTATTATTAGTAGTATCATTAGAATTATTAGTAGTAGAATTATTATTAGTAGTATAATTAGAATTAGTATCATTAGAATTATTATTAGTAGTATCATTAGAATTATTAGTAGTAGAATCATTAGAATTAGTATCATTAGAATTATTATTAGTAGTATAATTAGAATTAGTATCATTAGAATTATTATTAGTAGTATCATTAGAATTAGTATTATTATTAGTAGTATCATTAGTATTATTATTAGAAGTATCATTAGAATTAGTATTATTATTAGTAGTATCATTAGAATTAGTATTATTAGAATAATTATTAGTAGTATTAGTATCATTAGAATTATTATTAGTAGTATCATCAGAATTAGTATTATTATTAGTAGTATCATTAGAATTAGTATTATTAGAAGTATCATTAGAATTAGTATCATTAGAATTATTATTAGTAGTATCATTAGAATTAGAATTATTATTAGTAGTATCATTAGAATTAGTATTATTATTAGAAGTATCATTAGAATTAGTATCATTAGAATTATTATTAGTAGTATCATTAGAATTATTATTATTATTAGTAGTATCATTAGTATTATTATTAGTAGTATCATTAGTATTATTATTAGTAGTATCATTAGAATTATTATTAGTAGTATCATTAGAATTAGTATCATTAGAATTATTATTAGTAGTATCATTAGAATTAGTATTATTATTAGTAGTATCATTAGAATTAGTATTATTATTAGTAGTATCATTAGAATTATTATTAGTAGTATCATTAGAATTAGTATCATTAGAATTATTATTAGTAGTATCATTAGAATTAGTATTATTATTAGTAGTATCATTAGAATTAGTATTATTATTAGTAGTATCATTAGTAGTACCTTGGCAAAGGCCTTGGTGCAGGACGGACAGACGAACGGTTTCTCTCCTCTGTGTCTCCTCTCATGATCTTTCAGGTGAGACTTGTGTTTAAATGCCTGCAGACAGACAGGTGAGACAGACAAGTAAGACGGACAAGTTAGACAGACAGGCAGAAGGGTGAGAGAGAGAGAGACAGATAGGTGAGCCCACCTTGTCACACATCTGGCAGGCGAACGGCCTCTCGTTGCTGTGAACTCGTTCGTGCTTTTTCAGGTCTGGAGCTCGAATGAACGATTTCCCACAAACGTCACACCGGTACGGTTTGAAGCCTGTGTGGATCTTCAGGTGCTCTGCAGTGCACAGGTGAGGGCAGAGCCAAACAATGAAAAACAATCACCTGTAAAATGTCATCTGTAATCTTTCACCAGAGAGTTCAGGTTATCATACCTGAGTACAGGTGTGTACAGGTGTGCTTTTACCTTTCAGGTGAGCGTGGGTGGTGAAAGCTTTGGTGCAGATCTCACAGGCGAACGGACGCTCTGCTGAATGAAGCTTCTCATGTTTCCTGAAGACAGAGCGTGTTTACACAGGTGAGTTAGTCAAGTTAGTTTATACAGGTGAGTTAGTCAGGTGAGTTTATACAGGTGAGTTTACACAGGTGAGTCAGTCAGGTGAGATTATACAGGTGAGTTAGTCAGGTGAGTTTATACAGCTGAGTTTATACAGGTGAGTTTACACAGGTGAGTCAGTCAGGTGAGATTATACAGGTGAGTTAGTCAGGTGAGTTTATACAGGTGAGTTAGTCAGGTGAGTTTATACAGCTGAGTTTATACAGGTGAGTTTACACAGGTGAGTTAGTCAGGTGAGTTTACACAGGTGAGTTAGTCAGGTGACTTTATACAGGTGAGTTAGTCAGGCATGTTTATACAGGTGAGTTTACACAGGTGAGTTATTCAGGTGAGTTTACACAGGTGAGTCAGTCAGGTGAGATTATACAGGTGAGTTAGTCAAGTTAGTTTATACAGGTGAGTTTATACAGGTGAGTTAGTCAGGTGAGTTTATACAGCTGACTTTATACAGGTGAGTTTACACAGGTGAGTCAGTCAGGTGAGTTTACACAGGTGAGTCAGTCAGGTGAGATTATACAGGTGAATTAGTCAGGTGAGTTTACACAGGTGAGTTAGTCAGGTGACTTTATACAGGTGAGTCAGTCAGGTGAGATTATACAGGTGAATTAGTCAGGTGAGTTTACACAGGTGAGTTAGTCAGGTGACTTTATACAGGTGAGTTAGTCAGGCATGTTTATACAGGTGAGTTTATACAGGTGAGTTAGTCAGGTGACTTTATACAGGTGAGTTAGTCAGGCATGTTTATACAGGTGAGTTTACACAGGTGAGTTAGTCAGGTGAGTTTACACAGGTGAGTCAGTCAGGTGAGATTATACAGGTGAGTTAGTCAGGCGTGTTGGTCAGGTGAGTTGCCTGTACCTGAGTCTGCTCTCATCCATGAAGGTCTTCCCACACACCTGGCAGGCGAGCTGCTCCCGGTGTCCGTACAACAGGTACTCAAACTTCATGTCGGTGGTTGCTGTCGTCCAGCCGGGTGGCTGCTCGTCCTTCACCTCCCCGATACTGTCTGCAAACGTCAGTGTCTGGGTGGCGTGGTGTTCCGCCCCCAGCTCTTTAGGCTCCGCCTCCATCTCTGTCACCACATCCTGGTCGTAGCAGGTCACCTGAGGAAGTCACACAGGAGTGTTTACCTGTGTGTGTGTGAGAGGACACTGAGGGAGTCACAAGTATATAAAGTGTGTACCTTGTGAACGTCCTCATTGGTCAGCTCTTTCAGGATGGCTTCCTGCACACGCAGCGCTGCACTGGGAGACTTATCGAGCTCCTGATTGGCTGACGCTTCAACAAGGTCGTCTGTGGTGGGCGTGTCATCGTGCTCCCCGAGCACCTGCACACAAACACTTTACAGTATAAAATGCCAATTACAGATGGTTAATCAATGATTATTATTGATCGTGTGATTGTACCTCGGCGTCAGCAGCCAGCTGAGCCTCCGGTGGCAGCGCCATCTTTACGATATCATAAGGAAACTTGTCTTTGTCCTCTGAAGACACGTCTCGTTTCTGAAGACACACAAACGCATCATCACACAGAGCTTCACCTGTCTGACTAACCCCCCAAAAACCACTGGGATTTTCAAAATAAAACAGTACAGTGTATACAAAATATTATTATGGCCTGTCTTTGTGTTACCTGTGTGTGTTACCTGTGTGTGTTAGCAGTGTGTGTCACCTGTGTGTGTTACCTGTGTGTGTTAGCAGTGTGTCATTACCTGTGTGTGTTACCTGTGTGTGTAACCTGTGTGTGTAACAGGTTGTGTGTGTAACCTGTGTGTTACTTGTGTGTGCTACCTGAGAGCAGAGTTTGTCGAGGAAGCGGATGCCGAGGATCTGTCCTGATGACATCATGAGGTTGACGTCTCTTTTCTTGACGGAGATCTTCGCTGTGTACATGTAGTTCAACACCTCCTCAAAGATATCTGAGCGGATGAAGTCGATCTCAATCACTGAAGAGTTGTCCACCTGAGCACGGCCATTACAGGTGTTACACATTACAACAGTACTGCAGCACACCTGTACACCTTTTAAACTGTCTGTATATTAAAGAGTACCTCATGTTTCTTGAAGAGTTTTTTGAAGTAGTTGGAGCAGGCGGCGAGCACGCAGCGGTGAGCGCGGAACTTGACGTCTTCGACGACCACGGCGATGTCGCAGTGTTCGCCTTCCAGTCTCTGCTCGTTCAGCAGCTTCAGGAAGATGCTCTTGTGTTCGTCGTCCACGTACTTCACCGTCTCCGTCATCTGAACGCAGTCAGGAAAAACATGGAGTACAACTCAGAGCCTCAGAGACACACCTGAACTACAGTTAACACCCTCACCTGGCTTCATCTGGGCCAGCATTTCAACACCTGCAATCAGATCAGACGTCTCTGGATTGGATTCAATCTCACATCTGAATATCTAAACACAGGAAATGGAAACTGTTGTGTATTTCAGAAGTCTAAGATGAAGATCAGGATGACCCTGGTCCCACTGGGAGGGTGGAGCCAGTGTGGATCCAAGGTCCCGATTGGAGGTTATTAAACTAAAGTTAAAACTAAAATAAAGACTAGACTTTAGAAACCAGTAGCTGAAACAATATTGTGATTTATAAACTACAATTAAATATACATTAAATGTAAATTTCATTTCATTTTTTATTTTGGTTTTGTGTCAACACAACAAGGATGAGTAGGCGTTGGTTCGTCTGTTCACTTATAATAACTTCTGACAGATATCATTATATTATATATATTATATTGTGCATAATATATATTATATTAGACAATATAATATATATAATATATATATAATCATAGACAATATGATTGCATTGATAAGGTATTGGGTCTATACGTTATCAATATGTGGTGATGTATGGATCCCTGTGGGCTCATTGAGAGTCAGTGAGCAGCGACATCATATCACAGCAAGGGATATAACGGTATGAGAATTTGACCTCATGGTTACAGTGACCAAAATTATCACGGTTTTCGGTATTATAACGGTATTTTTTGAAAGTGTGTTCAATATGTTCAAAAAGCACTGATAGGCCTACACAAGCTGAAATAGTTTCAAAAAGTGTAACAGTGTTTATTATATTACAAAACCTTATCAAAAGCATCAAAATGTAACATCAAAGGAACAAGGGTTCAGCATGTAAACAGCTTATTTGTCAGGAAGGTTTAAATGATACAAATCCAAACATTCAAGCTAAGACACAAAGAACAATATGTAAACAAATCAAAGAAACACCACTAATTATATACTTATTTTCTTCATCATCAAAATGAAAATGTAAAACTGTTAGTAGCTTATTTGTCAGGAAAATGAACCATTGTGCAAGTTTATGTGAACACTTTAAACTAAAAATAAGACAAAAGTGCATTATGCATTTACAATTAATAGCCACTATAAACAAATTACAAAAATAACTACAAGCATATGTAATCAAATCCAAATGTTCAAGTGTTGATGACTAAATATGTAAACAAATCAATGGAACAGAATGTCTTTTGCTATGCAATAGGAGAATGCTGCAGTTAGGTCTTGAACTTTTCTGGATGCAGGTGCATAAGCAGTAGGGCTGCTCGTTTATGGAAAAAAATCATAATCACGATTATTTGGGTCTGGGCTTGCCGGCATGACGGGACAGGGGGGCGTGACTGCTAAAAAAATCCTAGAGGAAACACAGGTTACTGTTACGCATTACCTGTTCCAACGAAAACAACGTGACTGACTCGTGCAGTGCATGCTGTGGGGGAGGGACGGAAATACGCAGACTGTGTCCCATTCAGGGGCTGCATCCCTGAATTGGGACACAGCTTTTTTCTATACAACGTTGCACAACAGAAAATGAAAAGAAAATTGTTTCCCCCCGATTTTATTAGTTTTGAGATCGTTTGGCCCCAAAATCGTAATCATGATCAAATTTCGATTAATTAAGCAGCCTTAATAAGCAGACTGTCTTTGAACCTGTAGCAGTACTTGGCTGCCCCACTGCAAGTCCTCACTGTAAAAAAAATTATTATTATTATTATCATCATCATTAGGCTACTATTCATATCAATATTCATACGATTTTGCCTTAAGCTCTTATTGTTGCTAAATCAAAAAAATTGGCTAGAAATGAATTCTCTTACTGGGCAAATAATGTTTCGTGTTTTCAAAGACACGTGGTTCAGACCGTCACCGTGTGACTAAGTCAATTAAAGTTATCTACCTTCCCTAGAATTAAACGATTTACTGAACTTAGTATAAATTATGCATTCTTGTAGTAGGACACTGAAAAACCTAGACATGAAAAGGAAATCAAGAAATGCATGCAATGAAATACTGTAGCCTACTACTGTTTGACAAACGCAACTCAAATGGGCATCCGTTTAGCTCTGAGGCTAAAAATGTGTCCCGATTTGCTCCACACACCACCACTGAATGAAAATGTGCATTTCAGGTAGTTAATGCCGCAGGCATTTGTTTAGGTTATTGACAAGTTATTAACAAGTTACACAGACGGATCATTGCATTCTCCTTCAACCAGAAGTCCCCACACTATGTATTTTAGCTAAACCGTTAACGTTAACTGACCTTGCATTGGCTATAAAGCTGTGGGTGACGGAGATGAGTCAGGAGATTCGACGTATTGCCGCCTTTAGCAGCAACTTTTTTCCTGCACGTTCTGCAGACAGGATAAGTATCTTCAATCAACTGTCCCTCGGCATTCTTATAACAACCAAAATATACCCATGCTTCAGACTTAGTCCTCTTAGAGGGCTGATAAATGTCCTGAGCGCTGTCCTCTCCTCCTTCTGCCATGATTCCAACTTGCACACACGTTGTAGGCTGCGCAGTGAGCCTGCGCGGCAACTTCGGGAAACTCGGATGACGCTGGGAAGGATTAAACACACGGTTTCCACACCGTGGTAATCAACCGTGATAATAATGATATTTGAAATGAAAACACTAATAATAATATTATTAATAATAATAATAATAATGCATTATATACTACTACTACTACGACTACTACTAATAATAACACTAACACTAAAAATAATAATAATAATACTGCTGCATAAAATATTAATACTACAACTACTAATAATAATAATTTAATAACACTAATAATAATACTAATAATAATAATGCATTAAATACAACTACTACTAATAATAATATTAATAATAATACTGTTGCATTGAATATAAATACTAATAATAATGCATTAAATACTACTACTAATAATAATATTAATAATAATACTGCTGCATTAAATATTAATAATACTAATAATACTAATAATGTTGCATTAAATACTACTACTAATAATAATATTAATAATAATACTGCTGCCTTAAATATTAATAATACTAATAATAATGCATTAAATACTACTACTACTAATAATAATATATTATTAATAATAATAATAATACTGCTGCATTAAATATTAATACTAATAATATCGCATTAAATACTACTACTACTAATAATATTAATAATAATACTGCTGCAGTAAATATTAACAATACTAATAATGCATTGAATATTACTACTAATAACAATATTAATAATAATACTGCTGCATTGAATATTAATAATACTAACAATGCAATAAATACTACTACTACTACTATTACTACTTATATTAATAATAATACTGCTGCATTAACTATTAACACTAATAATACTAATAATGTTGCATTAAATATTAATAATACTAATAATGCATTAAATTCAACTACTACTAATAATATTAATAATAATACTGCTGCATTAAATATTAATAATACTAATAATGTTGCATCAAATACTACTACTACCAATATTAATAATAATACTGCTGCATTAAATATTAATAATACTAATAATGCATTAAATACTACTACTACTACTAATATTAATAATGCTGCATTAAATATTAATAATACTAATAATGCATTAAATACTACTACTACTAATATTAATATTAATACTGCTGCATTAAATACTAATAATACTAATAATGCATTAAATACTACTACTACTAATAATATTAATAATACTGCTGCATTAAATACTAATACTAATAATGCATTAAATACTACTACTACTAATATTAATAATAATACTGCTGCATTAAATACTAATACTAATAATGCATTAAATACTACTACTAATAATGCATTAAATACTACTACTAATATTAATAATAATACTGCTGCATTAAATACTAATAATGCATTAAATACTAATACTAATAATGCATTAAATACTACTACTAATATTAATAATAATACTGCTGCATTAAATATTAATAATACTAATAATGCATTAAATACTACTACTACTAATAATAATACTGCTGCATTAAATACTAATAATACTAATAATGCATTAAATACTACTACTACTAATATTAATAATAATACTGCTGCATTAAATACTAATAATACTAATAATGCATTAAATACTACTACTACTACTAATATTAATAATAATACTGCTGCATTAAATACTAATACTAATAATGCATTAAATACTACTACTAATAATAATAATAATACTGCTGCATTAAATACTAATAATACTAATAATGCATTAAATACTACTACTACTAATATTAATAATAATACTGCTGCATTAAATACTAATAATGCATTAAATACTACTACTACTAATAATATTAATACTGCTGCATTAAATACTAATAATGCATTAAATACTACTACTACTACTAATAATAATAATACTGCTGCATTAAATACTAATAATACTAATAATGCATTAAATACTACTACTACTAATAATATTAATACTGCTGCATTAAATACTAATAATACTAATAATGCATTAAATACTACTACTACTAATATTAATAATAATACTGCTGCATTAAATACTAATAATACTAATAATGCATTAAATACTACTACTAATAATAATAATAATACTGCTGCATTAAATACTAATAATACTAATAATGCATTAAATACTACTACTAATAATAATATTAATACTGCTGCATTAAATACTAATACTAATAATGCATTAAATACTACTACTACTAATATTAATAATAATACTGCTGCATTAAATACTAATACTAATAATGCATTAAATACTACTACTAATAATGCATTAAATACTACTACTAATATTAATAATAATACTGCTGCATTAAATACTAATAATGCATTAAATACTAATACTAATAATGCATTAAATACTACTACTAATATTAATAATAATACTGCTGCATTAAATATTAATAATACTAATAATGCATTAAATACTACTACTACTACTAATATTAATAATACTGCTGCATTAAATATTAATAATACTAATAATGCATTAAATACTACTACTACTACTAATATTAATATTGCTGCATTAAATACTAATAATACTAATAATGCATTAAATACTACTACTAATAATAATAATACTGCTGCATTAAATACTAATACTAATAATGCATTAAATACTACTACTACTAATATTAATAATAATACTGCTGCATTAAATACTAATACTAATAATGCATTAAATACTACTACTAATAATGCATTAAATACTACTACTAATACTAATAATAATACTGCTGCATTAAATACTAATAATGCATTAAATACTAATACTAATAATGCATTAAATACTACTACTAATATTAATAATAATACTGCTGCATTAAATATTAATAATACTAATAATGCATTAAATACTACTACTACTACTAATATTAATAATACTGCTGCATTAAATATTAATAATACTAATAATGCATTAAATACTACTACTACTACTAATATTAATATTGCTGCATTAAATACTAATAATACTAATAATGCATTAAATACTACTAATAATAATAATAATACTGCTGCATTAAATACTAATACTAATAATGCATTAAATACTACTACTACTAATAATAATAATAATACTGCTGCATTAAATACTAATAATAACGAACCCACAGCTCCCTACAGGGAACCAGAACATCTGGATCAGCAGCTGGTGGTTGAGGGAGCGTTCAGTAGTGAATCCTGATCACAACTAATAGCTGATCAATATAGTGTAATATTCCTGTTCCCACTGTGCTGATGTTTAACTCGCTATGGGAGATATTGGCTCTTGTTAGTTGGATCAATATGAACATTGATCTTAGCGCTTTAATATTTACCTGCTGGAGCACCTAATCAATACTTCTGATCAAAGACGCCATCAGAGAGCTATCTACCAGGATCAATATCACAACGAGCTGCAGCCAATCAGAGCAGTCTCTGCAGAGAACCAGCAGTTACCATGGTAACGGCTCCATCACTCACACACACAGTGAATGAACAGCTTCATATTTATTGATCATATTGATCACTAATCACTGTATCTGTATGGATGATAACACTGTATCTGTATTGATTATTGATCAGTATACGCTGTATCTTTATGGGTGATATTGATCAGTATACACTGTATCTTTATGGATGATATTGATCAGTATACACTGTATCTTTATGGATTATTGATCAGTATACACTGTATCTGTATAGATGATATTGATCAGTATACACTGTATCTTTATGGATTATTGATCAGTATACACTGTATCTTAATGGATGATATTGATCAGTATACACTGTATCTGTATGGATTATTGATCAGTATACACTGTATCTGTATGGATGATATTGATCAGTATACACTATCTTTATGGATGATATTGATCAGTATACACTATCTTTATAGATATTGATCAGTATACACTATCTTTATAGATATTGATCAGTATACACTGTATCTTTATGGATGATATTGATCAGTATACACTGTATCTTTATGGATGATATTGATCAGTATACACTGTATCTTTATGGATGATATTGATCAGTATACACTGTATCTGTATGGATTATTGATCAGTATACACTGTATCTTTATGGATGATATTGATCAGTATACACTGTATCTGTATGGATTATTGATCAGTATACACTGTATCTTTATGGATGATATTGATCAGTATACACTGTATCTTTATGGATGATATTGATCAGTATACACTGTATCTTTATGGATTATTGATCAGTATACACTGTATCTTTATGGATGATATTGATCAGTATACACTGTATCTGTATGGATTATTGATCAGTATACACTATCTTTATGGATGATATTGATCAGTATACACTATCTTTATAGATATTGATCAGTATACACTATCTTTATGGATGATATTGATCAGTATACACTATCTTTATAGATATTGATCAGTATACACTATCTTTATAGATATTGATCAGTATACACTGTATCTTTATGGATTATTGATCAGTATACACTGTATCTTTATGGATGATATTGATCAGTATACACTGTATCTTTATGGATGATATTGATCAGTATACACTGTATCTTTATGGATGATATTGATCAGTATACACTGTATCTTTATGGATGATATTGATCCTGTATTGACAGTCAGACTGTGGACATATGACGGCCTTTAGCTCGTGTTTCTAGAGTTACGTGTTGTTACGAACACGTTAGGAATTGTTAAAATGTGATATTTCTTAAAGGGAGTTTGGTGCAGGGAGCTTTTAGTTGGATTCAAACTGCTGATATGGATCATTGTTAACGTTTAGTCTCCACTACAGAAACACTAGCTAACTGCTGAAGGCTGATCAGGTTGATTATCAGCTCATTGATCAGATCAGTGCCTTGCTCCGCGGCTCCTGCCCCCCCCCCCCAGTCCCAGTAGTTCATGTACCTCTTCTCCCGCGGACACGCGCACCGGTGCGTGTGCACGTTCCATGATGCGTTCAAGTGAGCCAGCAGACAGTGCTAGCTGTTAGCTGTTAGCATTCCGCATACTGGTTGTATTTCCCGGACGGAACCGGAACCGGTACCGGACACCGAGTCCACTCTGATTAACGAATCTAACCCGGACTGAAGCGTGCTAAGCTAACGGGCTATGCTAACGGGTTAAGCTAACGCGTGCACTGATGGAGGTGGTGAGGCTAACGCGCTGATTAAACGACCCTCTACCGGCAGACTCACCGGGCTCACCGGGCTCCCGGTGTGTCTGCGGCGGGGCTCGGGGCGGTACCCGGCGCTGGTTGTTACCGTCAGCTTAATAACGAGGGTCCTGTGTTTGTGTTAAAATGGCGGACCGTCCGGCCTGCTGCTCGCACTCTGAAACAAAATGGCGTTTATCCGGTAACCGTCCTCCTCTCGGTGTCTCCGTTACAACCGACAGCGGCACCGGACGGACGGTGAGCGGGATCGTCCCCGGCACCGGCACGCAGGCACGCGGCTCCGCGGCCTCGGCATCACGAACGAGACGGGGCTCGAGCGGCCGTGAGCGAGAGCGCGCAGCATCCCCGCGAACCGGCGGCCGCAGCGGCGGGGGGGCGCGAGGACAGCGCGGGGCCACCGGGAGCGGGCTCTTACCGTCACTGCGGCTCGGTGTCACTGCGGTCCTCTGGGTGTGTCGGCGCACCGGAGCCGGTGAGGATCACTTTGTCCGGTTGTTGTTGTTGATGAGGACGAGCACAGAGCGGAAGCACGCACACACTGCAGGGGCACGCAGGCGGCGGGCCAAAGATCTTCTGTGGGCGAGACGGATCACTACCTCCGACGCATGCGCGCTGGGAGCGGGCCTCACAGAGAAATAACATGTTTGATTGTGTGAATTAATGATCACATCCGGTCTGATTGTCCCTTCATGTGGAGCTCAATGTGTTCTTACATAAATAACAACAACTAACTGACCTCAACCAATAACATCACTCTTCAGCTGGAAGCCACCGCATGGCTGTATTATTCACTGTTAATACATATAAAGTTGTGTGTTTGTACAGTGTTAATAAAGTTGTGTGTTTGTACAGTGTTAATAAAGTTGTGTGTTTGTACAGTGATAATAAAGTTGTGTGTTTGTACAGTGATAATAAAGTTGTGTGTTTGTACAGTGTTAATAAAGTTGTGTGTTTGTACAGTGTTAATAAAGTTGTGTGTTTGTACAGTGATAATAAAGTTGTGTTTGTACAGTGTTAATAAAGTTGTGTGTTTGTACAGTGATAATAAAGTTGTGTGTTTGTACAGTGATAATAAAGTTGTGTGTTTGTACAGTGTTAATAAAGTTGTGTGTTTGTACAGTGATAATAAAGTTGTGTGTTTGTACAGTGATAATAAAGTTGTGTGTTTGTACAGTGTTAATAAAGTAGTGTGTTTGTACAGTGTAAATAAAGTTGTGTTTGTACAGTGTTAATAAAGTTGTGTTTGTACAGTGTTAATAAAGTTGTGTGTTTGTACAGTGTTAATAAAGTTGTGTGTTTGTACAGTGTTAATAAAGTTGTGTGTTTGTACAGTGTTAATAAAGTTGTGTGTTTGTACAGTGTTAATAAAGTTGTGTGTTTGTACAGTGTAAATAAAGTTGTGTTTGTACAGTGATAATAAAGTTGTGTGTTTGTACAGTGTTAATAAAGTTGTGTGTTTGTACAGTGATAATAAAGTTGTGTTTGTACAGTGTTAATAAAGTTGTGTGTCTGTACAGTGTTAATAAAGTTGTGTGTTTGTACAGTGATAATAAAGTTGTGTGTTTGTACAGTGTTAATAAAGTTGTGTGTTTGTACAGTGTTAATAAAGTTGTGTGTTTGTACAGTGTTAATAAAGTTGTGTTTGTACAGTGTTAATAAAGTTGTGTGTTTGTACAGTGTTAATAAAGTTGTGTTTGTACAGTGTTAATAAAGTTGTGTTTGTACAGTGTTAATAAAGTTGTGTGTTTGTACAGTGTTAATAAAGTTGTGTTTGTACAGTGTTAATAAAGTTGTGTGTTTGTACAGTGTTAATAAAGTTGTGTGTTTGTACAGTGTTAATAAAGTTGTGTGTTTGTACAGTGTAAATAAAGTTGTGTTTGTACAGTGATAATAAAGTTGTGTGTTTGTACAGTGTTAATAAAGTTGTGTCTGTACAGTGTTAATAAAGTTGTGTGTTTGTACAGTGTTAATAAAGTTGTGTGTTTGTACAGTGTTAATAAAGTTGTTTGTACAGTGTTAATAAAGTTGTGTGTTTGTACAGTGTTAATAAAGTTGTGTGTTTGTACAGTGATAATAAAGTTGTGTTTGTACAGTGTTAATAAAGTTGTGTGTTTGTACAGTGATAATAAAGTTGTGTGTTTGTACAGTGTTAATAAAGTTGTGTTTGTACAGTGTTAATAAAGTTGTGTGTTTGTACAGTGTTAATAAAGTTGTGTTTGTACAGTGTTAATAAAGTTGTGTTTGTACAGTGATAATAAAGTTGTGTGTTTGTACAGTGTTAATAAAGTTGTGTTTGTACAGTGTTAATAAAGTTGTGTGTTTGTACAGTGTTAATAAAGTTGTGTGTTTGTACAGTGTTAATAAAGTTGTGTGTTTGTACAGTGTTAATAAAGTTGTGTGTTTGTACAGTGTTAATAAAGTTGTGTGTTTGTACAGTTTTAATAAAGTTGTGTGTTTGTACAGTGATAATAAAGTTGTTTGTACAGTGATAATAAAGTTGTGTGTTTGTACAGTGTTAATAAAGTTGTGTGTTTGTACAGTGTTAATAAAGTTGTGTGTTTGTACAGTGATAATAAAGTTGTGTGTTTGTATAGTGATAATAAAGTTGTGTGTTTGTACAGTGATAATAAAGTTGTGTGTTTGTACAGTGATAATAAAGTTGTGTGTTTGTATAGTGATAATAAAGTTGTGTGTTTGTACAGTGATAATAAAGTTGTGTGTTTGTACAGTGTAAATAAAGTTGTGTTTGTACAGTGTTAATAAAGTTGTGTTTGTACAGTGTTAATAAAGTTGTGTGTTTGTACAGTGTTAATAAAGTTGTGTGTTTGTACAGTGTTAATAAAGTTGTGTGTTTGTACAGTGTTAATAAAGTTGTGTGTTTGTACAGTGTAAATAAAGTTGTGTTTGTACAGTGTTAATAAAGTTGTGTGTTTGTACAGTGTTAATAAAGTTGTGTGTTTGTACAGTGATAATAAAGTTGTGTTTGTACAGTGTTAATAAAGTTGTGTGTCTGTACAGTGTTAATAAAGTTGTGTGTTTGTACAGTGATAATAAAGTTGTGTTTGTACAGTGTTAATAAAGTTGTGTGTCTGTACAGTGTTAATAAAGTTGTGTTTGTACAGTGTTAATAAAGTTGTGTGTTTGTACAGTGTTAATAAAGTTGTGTTTGTACAGTGTTAATAAAGTTGTGTTTGTACAGTGATAATAAAGTTGTGTGTTTGTACAGTGTTAATAAAGTTGTGTTTGTACAGTGTTAATAAAGTTGTGTTTGTACAGTGTTAATAAAGTTGTGTGTTTGTACAGTGTTAATAAAGTTGTGTCTGTACAGTGTTAATAAAGTTGTGTGTTTGTACAGTGTTAATAAAGTTGTGTGTTTGTACAGTGTTAATAAAGTTGTGTGTTTGTACAGTGTTAATAAAGTTGTGTTTGTACAGTGTTAATAAAGTTGTGTGTTTGTACAGTGTTAATAAAGTTGTGTTTGTACAGTGTTAATAAAGTTGTGTTTGTACAGTGTTAATAAAGTTGTGTTTGTACAGTGTTAATAAAGTTGTGTGTTTGTACAGTGTTAATAAAGTTGTGTTTGTACAGTGTTAATAAAGTTGTGTGTTTGTACAGTGTTAATAAAGTTGTGTGTTTGTACAGTGTTAATAAAGTTGTGTGTTTTTACAGTGTTAATAAAGTTGTGTTTGTACAGTGTTAATAAAGTTGTGTTTGTACAGTGTTAATAAAGTTGTGTGTTTGTACAGTGTTAATAAAGTTGTGTTTGTACAGTGTTAATAAAGTTGTGTGTTTGTACAGTGATAATAAAGTTGTGTTTGTACAGTGATAATAAAGTTGTGTGTTTGTACAGTGTTAATAAAGTTGTGTCTGTACAGTGTTAATAAAGTTGTGTGTTTGTACAGTGTTAATAAAGTTGTGTGTTTGTACAGTGTTAATAAAGTTGTGTGTTTGTACAGTGTTAATAAAGTTGCGTGTTTGTACAGTGTTAATAAAGTTGTGTTTGCACAGTGTTAATAAAGTTGTGTGTTTGTACAGTGTTAATAAAGTTGTTTGTACAGTGTTAATAAAGTTGTGTGTTTGTACAGTGTTAATAAAGTTGTGTGTTTGTACAGTGTTAATAAAGTTGTGTTTGTACAGTGATAATAAAGTTGTGTGTTTGTACAGTGTTAATAAAGTTGTGTGTTTGTACAGTGTTAATAAAGTTGTGTTTGTACAGTGATAATAAAGTTGTGTGTTTGTACAGTGTTAATAAAGTTGTGTTTGTACAGTGATAATAAAGTTGTGTTTGTACAGTGTTAATAAAGTTGTGTGTTTGTACAGTGTCAATAAAGTTGTGTGTTTGTACAGTGTTAATAAAGTTGTGTGTTTGTACAGTGTTAATAAAGTTGTTTGTACAGTGTTAATAAAGTTGTGTGTTTGTACAGTGTTAATAAAGTTGTGTGTTTGTACAGTGTTAATAAAGTTGTGTTTGTACAGTGATAATAAAGTTGTGTGTTTGTACAGTGTTAATAAAGTTGTGTTTGTACAGTGTTAATAAAGTTGTGTGTTTGTACAGTGATAATAAAGTTGTGTGTTTGTACAGTGTTAATAAAGTTGTGTGTTTGGACAGTGTTAATAAAGTTGTTTGTACAGTGATAATAAAGTTGTGTGTTTGTACAGTGTTAATAAAGTTGTGTGTTTGTACAGTGTTAATAAAGTTGTGTGTTTGTACAGTGTCAATAAAGTTGTGTGTTTGTACAGTGTTAATAAAGTTGTGTGTTTGTACAGTGTTAATAAAGTTGTTTGTACAGTGTTAATAAAGTTGTGTGTTTGTACAGTGTTAATAAAGTTGTGTGTTTGTACAGTGTTAATAAAGTTGTGTTTGTACAGTGATAATAAAGTTGTGTGTTTGTACAGTGTTAATAAAGTTGTGTTTGTACAGTGTTAATAAAGTTGTGTGTTTGTACAGTGATAATAAAGTTGTGTGTTTGTACAGTGTTAATAAAGTTGTGTGTTTGGACAGTGTTAATAAAGTTGTTTGTACAGTGATAATAAAGTTGTGTGTTTGTACAGTGTTAATAAAGTTGTGTGTTTGTACAGTGATAATAAAGTTGTGTGTTTGTACAGTGTCAATAAAGTTGTGTGTTTGTACAGTGTCAATAAAGTTGTGTGTTTGTACAGTGTTAATAAAGTTGTGTTTGTACAGTGATAATAAAGTTGTGTTTGTACAGTGTTAATAAAGTTGTGTGTTTGTACAGTGTTAATAAAGTTGTGTTTGTACAGTGTTAATAAAGTTGTGTGTTTGTACAGTGTTAATAAAGTTGTGTGTTTGTACAGTGTTAATAAAGTTGTGTTTGTACAGTGTTAATAAAGTTGTGTGTTTGTACAGTGATAATAAAGTTGTGTTTGTACAGTGATAATAAAGTTGTGTGTTTGTACAGTGATAATAAAGTTGTGTTTGTACAGTGATAATAAAGTTGTGTGTTTGTACAGTGTTAATAAAGTTGTGTGTTTGTACAGTGTTAATAAAGTTGTGTGTTTGTACAGTGTTAATAAAGTTGTGTGTTTGTACAGTGTTAATAAAGTTGTGTTTGTACAGTGATAATAAAGTTGTGTTTGTACAGTGTTAATAAAGTTGTGTGTTTGTACAGTGTTAATAAAGTTGTGTTTGTACAGTGTTAATAAAGTTGTGTGTTTGTACAGTGTTAATAAAGTTGTGTGTTTGTACAGTGTTAATAAAGTTGTGTGTTTGTACAGTGTTAATAAAGTTGTGTGTTTGTACAGTGATAATAAAGTTGTGTGTTTGTACAGAATTAATAAAGTTGTGTTTGTACAGTGTTAATAAAGTTGTGTGTTTGTACAGTGTTAATAAAGTTGTGTGTTTGTACAGTGTTAATAAAGTTTTGTTTGTACAGTGTTAATAAAGTTGTGTGTTTGTACAGTGATAATAAAGTTGTGTTTGTACAGTGTTAATAAAGTTGTGTGTTTGTACAGTGTTAATAAAGTTGTGTTTGTACAGTGATAATAAAGTTGTGTGTTTGTACAGTGATAATAAAGTTGTGTGTTTGTACAGTGTTAATAAAGTTGTGTTTGTACAGTGTTAATAAAGTTGTGTTTGTACAGTGTTAATAAAGTTGTGTGTTTGTACAGTGTTAATAAAGTTGTGTTTGTACAGTGATAATAAAGTTGTGTGTTTGTACAGTGATAATAAAGTTGTGTTTGTTTTCAGTGTTAATAAAGTTGTGTGTTTGTACAGTGTTAATAAAGTTGTGTTTGTACAGTGATAATAAAGTTGTGTTTGTACAGTGATAATAAAGTTGTGTGTTTGTACAGTGATAATAAAGTTGTGTGTTTGTACAGTGATAATAAAGTTGTGTTTGTACAGTGATAATAAAGTTGTGTTTGTACAGTGATAATAAAGTTGTGTGTTTGTACAGTGATAATAAAGTTGTGTGTTTGTACAGTGATAATAAAGTTGTGTTTGTACAGTGTTAATAAAGTTGTGTGTTTGTACAGTGTTAATAAAGTTGTGTGTTTGTACAGTGTTAATAAAGTCGTGTGTTTGTACAGTGATAATAAAGTTGTGTGTTTGTACAGTGATAATAAAGTCGTGTGTTTGTACAGTGTTAATAAAGTCGTGTGTTTGTACAGTGTTAATAAAGTTGTGTGTTTGTACAGTGTTAATAAAGTTGTGTGTTTGTACAGTGTTAATAAAGTTGTGTGTTTGTACAGTGTTAATAAAGTTGTGTGTTTGTACAGTGTTAATAAAGTCGTGTGTTTGTACAGTGTTAATAAAGTTGTGTGTTTGTGTACAGTGTTAATAAAGTTGTGTGTTTGTACAGTGTTAATAAAGTTGTGTGTTTGTACAGTGATAATAAAGTTGTGTGTTTGTACAGTGATAATAAAGTTGTGTGATTGTACAGTGTTAATAAAGTTGTGTGTTTGTGTACAGTGTTAATAAAGTTGTGTGTTTGTACAGTGTTAATAAAGTTGTGTGTTTGTACAGTGATAATAAAGTTGTGTGTTTGTACAGTGTTAATAAAGTTGTGTTTGTACAGTGATAATAAAGTTGTGTGTTTGTACAGTGTTAATAAAGTTGTGTGTTTGTACAGTGATAATAAAGTTGTGTGTTTGTACAGTGTTAATAAAGTTGTTTGTTTGTACAGTGTTAATAAAGTTGTGTTTGTACAGTGATAATAAAGTTGTGTTTGTACAGTGTTAATAAAGTTGTGTGTTTGTACAGTGTTAATAAAGTTGTGTGTTTGTACAGTGTTAATAAAGTTGTGTGTTTGTACAGTGTTAATAAAGTTGTGTGTTTGTACAGTGTTAATAAAGTTGTTTGTACAGTGATAATAAAGTTGTGTGTTTGTACAGTGTCAATAAAGTTGTCTGTTTGTACAGTGTTAATAAAGTTGTGTGTTTGTACATTGTTAATAAAGTTGTGTGTTTGTACAGTGTTAATAAAGTTGTGTTTTTGTACAGTGTTAATAAAGTTGTGTTTGTACAGTGATAATAAAGTTGTGTGTTTGTACAGTGTTAATAAAGTTGTGTGTTTGTACAGTGTTAATAAAGTTGTGTGTTTGTACAGTGTTAATAAAGTTGTGTTTGTACAGTGTTAATAAAGTTGTGTTTGTACAGTGATAATAAAGTTGTGTGTTTGTACAGTGTTAATAAAGTTGTGTGTTTGTACAGTGTTAATAAAGTTGTGTTTGTACAGTGTTAATAAAGTTGTGTGTTTGTACAGTGATAATAAAGTTGTGTGTTTGTACAGTGATAATAAAGTTGTGTTTGTACAGTGTTAATAAAGTTGTGTGTTTGTACAGTGTTAATAAAGTTGTGTTTGTACAGTGTTAATAAAGTTGTGTGTTTGTACAGTGTTAATAAAGTTGTTTGTACAGTGTTAATAAAGTTGTGTTTGTACAGTGTTAATAAAGTTGTGTTTGTACAGTGTTAATAAAGTTGTGTGTTTGTACAGTGTTAATAAAGTTGTGTTTGTACAGTGTTAATAAAGTTGTGTGTTTGTACAGTGTTAATAAAGTTGTGTGTTTGTACAGTGTTAATAAAGTTGTGTTTGTACAGTGATAATAAAGTTGTGTGTTTGTACAGTGTTAATAAAGTTGTGTGTTTGTACAGTGTTAATAAAGTTGTGTTTGTACAGTGTTAATAAAGTTGTGTGTTTGTACAGTGTTAATAAAGTTGTGTGTTTGTATAGTGTCAATAAAGTTGTGTGTTTGGACAGTGTTAATAAAGTTGTTTGTACAGTGATAATAAAGTTGTGTGTTTGTACAGTGTTAATAAAGTTGTGTGTTTGTACAGTGTTAATAAAGTTGTGTGTTTGTACAGTGTTAATAAAGTTGTGTGTTTGTATAGTGTCAATAAAGTTGTGTGTTTGTACAGTGTCAATAAAGTTGTGTGTTTGTACAGTGTTAATAAAGTTGTGTTTGTACAGTGTTAATAAAGTTGTGTTTGTACAGTGATAATAAAGTTGTGTGTTTGTACAGTGATAATAAAGTTGTGTGTTTGTACAGTGATAATAAAGTTGTGTGTTTGTACAGTGTTAATAAAGTTGTGTTTGTACAGTGTTAATAAAGTTGTGTGTTTGTACAGTGTTAATAAAGTTGTGTGTTTGTACAGTGTTAATAAAGTTGTGTGTTTGTACAGTGTTAATAAAGTTGTGTGTTTGTACAGTGTTAATAAAGTTGTGTGTTTGTACAGTGTTAATAAAGTTGTGTGTTTGTACAGTGATAATAAAGTTGTTTGTACAGTGATAATAAAGTTGTGTGTTTGTACAGTGTTAATAAAGTTGTGTGTTTGTACAGTGTTAATAAAGTTGTGTGTTTGTACAGTGTTAATAAAGTTGTGTGTTTGTACAGTGATAATAAAGTTGTGTGTTTGTATAGTGATAATAAAGTTGTGTGTTTGTACAGTGATAATAAAGTTGTGTGTTTGTACAGTGATAATAAAGTTGTGTGTTTGTACAGTGATAATAAAGTTGTGTGTTTGTACAGTGATAATAAAGTTGTGTGTTTGTACAGTGTTAATAAAGTTGTGTTTGTACAGTGTTAATAAAGTTGTGTTTGTACAGTGTTAATAAAGTTGTGTGTTTGTACAGTGTTAATAAAGTTGTGTGTTTATACAGTGTTAATAAAGTTGTGTGTTTGTACAGTGTTAATAAAGTTGTGTGTTTGTACAGTGTAAATAAAGTTGTGTTTGTACAGTGATAATAAAGTTGTGTGTTTGTACAGTGTTAATAAAGTTGTGTGTTTGTACAGTGATAATAAAGTTGTGTTTGTACAGTGTTAATAAAGTTGTGTGTCTGTACAGTGTTAATAAAGTTGTGTGTTTGTACAGTGATAATAAAGTTGTGTTTGTACAGTGTTAATAAAGTTGTGTGTCTGTACAGTGTTAATAAAGTTGTGTTTGTACAGTGTTAATAAAGTTGTGTGTTTGTACAGTGTTAATAAAGTTGTGTTTGTACAGTGTTAATAAAGTTGTGTTTGTACAGTGATAATAAAGTTGTGTGTTTGTACAGTGTTAATAAAGTTGTGTTTGTACAGTGTTAATAAAGTTGTGTTTGTATAGTGTTAATAAAGTTGTGTGTTTGTACAGTGTTAATAAAGTTGTGTCTGTACAGTGTTAATAAAGTTGTGTGTTTGTACAGTGTTAATAAAGTTGTGTGTTTGTACAGTGTTAATAAAGTTGTGTGTTTGTACAGTGTTAATAAAGTTGTGTTTGTACAGTGTTAATAAAGTTGTGTGTTTGTACAGTGTTAATAAAGTTGTGTTTGTACAGTGTTAATAAAGTTGTGTTTGTACAGTGTTAATAAAGTTGTGTTTGTACAGTGTTAATAAAGTTGTGTGTTTGTACAGTGTTAATAAAGTTGTGTTTGTACAGTGTTAATAAAGTTGTGTGTTTGTACAGTGTTAATAAAGTTGTGTGTTTGTACAGTGTTAATAAAGTTGTGTGTTTTTACAGTGTTAATAAAGTTGTGTTTGTACAGTGTTAATAAAGTTGTGTTTGTACAGTGTTAATAAAGTTGTGTGTTTGTACAGTGTTAATAAAGTTGTGTTTGTACAGTGTTAATAAAGTTGTGTGTTTGTACAGTGATAATAAAGTTGTGTTTGTACAGTGATAATAAAGTTGTGTGTTTGTACAGTGTTAATAAAGTTGTGTCTGTACAGTGTTAATAAAGTTGTGTGTTTGTACAGTGTTAATAAAGTTGTGTGTTTGTACAGTGTTAATAAAGTTGTGTGTTTGTACAGTGTTAATAAAGTTGCGTGTTTGTACAGTGTTAATAAAGTTGTGTTTGCACAGTGTTAATAAAGTTGTGTGTTTGTACAGTGTTAATAAAGTTGTTTGTACAGTGTTAATAAAGTTGTGTGTTTGTACAGTGTTAATAAAGTTGTGTGTTTGTACAGTGTTAATAAAGTTGTGTTTGTACAGTGATAATAAAGTTGTGTGTTTGTACAGTGTTAATAAAGTTGTGTGTTTGTACAGTGTTAATAAAGTTGTGTTTGTACAGTGATAATAAAGTTGTGTGTTTGTACAGTGTTAATAAAGTTGTGTTTGTACAGTGATAATAAAGTTGTGTTTGTACAGTGTTAATAAAGTTGTGTGTTTGTACAGTGTCAATAAAGTTGTGTGTTTGTACAGTGTTAATAAAGTTGTGTGTTTGTACAGTGTTAATAAAGTTGTTTGTACAGTGTTAATAAAGTTGTGTGTTTGTACAGTGTTAATAAAGTTGTGTGTTTGTACAGTGTTAATAAAGTTGTGTTTGTACAGTGATAATAAAGTTGTGTGTTTGTACAGTGTTAATAAAGTTGTGTTTGTACAGTGTTAATAAAGTTGTGTGTTTGTACAGTGATAATAAAGTTGTGTGTTTGTACAGTGTTAATAAAGTTGTGTGTTTGTACAGTGTTAATAAAGTTGTTTGTACAGTGATAATAAAGTTGTGTGTTTGTACAGTGTTAATAAAGTTGTGTGTTTGTACAGTGTTAATAAAGTTGTGTGTTTGTACAGTGTCAATAAAGTTGTGTGTTTGTACAGTGTTAATAAAGTTGTGTGTTTGTACAGTGTTAATAAAGTTGTTTGTACAGTGTTAATAAAGTTGTGTGTTTGTACAGTGTTAATAAAGTTGTGTGTTTGTACAGTGTTAATAAAGTTGTGTTTGTACAGTGATAATAAAGTTGTGTGTTTGTACAGTGTTAATAAAGTTGTGTTTGTACAGTGTTAATAAAGTTGTGTGTTTGTACAGTGATAATAAAGTTGTGTGTTTGTACAGTGTTAATAAAGTTGTGTGTTTGGACAGTGTTAATAAAGTTGTTTGTACAGTGATAATAAAGTTGTGTGTTTGTACAGTGTTAATAAAGTTGTGTGTTTGTACAGTGATAATAAAGTTGTGTGTTTGTACAGTGTCAATAAAGTTGTGTGTTTGTACAGTGTCAATAAAGTTGTGTGTTTGTACAGTGTTAATAAAGTTGTGTTTGTACAGTGATAACAAAGTTGTGTTTGTACAGTGTTAATAAAGTTGTGTGTTTGTACAGTGTTAATAAAGTTGTGTTTGTACAGTGTTAATAAAGTTGTGTGTTTGTACAGTGTTAATAAAGTTGTGTGTTTGTACAGTGTTAATAAAGTTGTGTTTGTACAGTGTTAATAAAGTTGTGTGTTTGTACAGTGATAATAAAGTTGTGTTTGTACAGTGATAATAAAGTTGTGTGTTTGTACAGTGATAATAAAGTTGTGTTTGTACAGTGATAATAAAGTTGTGTGTTTGTACAGTGTTAATAAAGTTGTGTGTTTGTACAGTGTTAATAAAGTTGTGTGTTTGTACAGTGTTAATAAAGTTGTGTGTTTGTACAGTGTTAATAAAGTTGTGTTTGTACAGTGATAATAAAGTTGTGTTTGTACAGTGTTAATAAAGTTGTGTGTTTGTACAGTGTTAATAAAGTTGTGTTTGTACAGTGTTAATAAAGTTGTGTGTTTGTACAGTGTTAATAAAGTTGTGTGTTTGTACAGTGTTAATAAAGTTGTGTGTTTGTACAGTGTTAATAAAGTTGTGTGTTTGTACAGTGATAATAAAGTTGTGTGTTTGTACAGAATTAATAAAGTTGTGTTTGTACAGTGTTAATAAAGTTGTGTGTTTGTACAGTGTTAATAAAGTTGTGTGTTTGTACAGTGTTAATAAAGTTTTGTTTGTACAGTGTTAATAAAGTTGTGTGTTTGTACAGTGATAATAAAGTTGTGTTTGTACAGTGTTAATAAAGTTGTGTGTTTGTACAGTGTTAATAAAGTTGTGTTTGTACAGTGATAATAAAGTTGTGTGTTTGTACAGTGATAATAAAGTTGTGTGTTTGTACAGTGTTAATAAAGTTGTGTTTGTACAGTGTTAATAAAGTTGTGTTTGTACAGTGTTAATAAAGTTGTGTGTTTGTACAGTGTTAATAAAGTTTTGTTTGTACAGTGATAATAAAGTTGTGTGTTTGTACAGTGATAATAAAGTTGTGTTTGTTTTCAGTGTTAATAAAGTTGTGTGTTTGTACAGTGTTAATAAAGTTGTGTTTGTACAGTGATAATAAAGTTGTGTTTGTACAGTGATAATAAAGTTGTGTGTTTGTACAGTGATAATAAAGTTGTGTGTTTGTACAGTGATAATAAAGTTGTGTTTGTACAGTGATAATAAAGTTGTGTTTGTACAGTGATAATAAAGTTGTGTGTTTGTACAGTGATAATAAAGTTGTGTGTTTGTACAGTGATAATAAAGTTGTGTTTGTACAGTGTTAATAAAGTTGTGTGTTTGTACAGTGTTAATAAAGTTGTGTGTTTGTACAGTGTTAATAAAGTCGTGTGTTTGTACAGTGATAATAAAGTTGTGTGTTTGTACAGTGATAATAAAGTCGTGTGTTTGTACAGTGTTAATAAAGTCGTGTGTTTGTACAGTGTTAATAAAGTTGTGTGTTTGTACAGTGTTAATAAAGTTGTGTGTTTGTACAGTGTTAATAAAGTTGTGTGTTTGTACAGTGTTAATAAAGTCGTGTGTTTGTACAGTGTTAATAAAGTTGTGTGTTTGTACAGTGTTAATAAAGTTGTGTGTTTGTGTACAGTGTTAATAAAGTTGTGTGTTTGTACAGTGTTAATAAAGTTGTGTGTTTGTACAGTGATAATAAAGTTGTGTGTTTGTACAGTGATAATAAAGTTGTGTGATTGTACAGTGTTAATAAAGTTGTGTGTTTGTGTACAGTGTTAATAAAGTTGTGTGTTTGTACAGTGTTAATAAAGTTGTGTGTTTGTACAGTGATAATAAAGTTGTGTGTTTGTACAGTGTTAATAAAGTTGTGTTTGTACAGTGATAATAAAGTTGTGTGTTTGTACAGTGTTAATAAAGTTGTGTGTTTGTACAGTGATAATAAAGTTGTGTGTTTGTACAGTGTTAATAAAGTTGTTTGTTTGTACAGTGTTAATAAAGTTGTGTTTGTACAGTGATAATAAAGTTGTGTTTGTACAGTGTTAATAAAGTTGTGTGTTTGTACAGTGTTAATAAAGTTGTGTGTTTGTACAGTGTCAATAAAGTTGTGTGTTTGTACAGTGTTAATAAAGTTGTGTGTTTGTACAGTGTCAATAAAGTTGTGTGTTTGTACAGTGTTAATAAAGTTGTGTGTTTGTACAGTGTCAATAAAGTTGTCTGTTTGTACAGTGTTAATAAAGTTGTGTGTTTGTACATTGTTAATAAAGTTGTGTGTTTGTACAGTGTTAATAAAGTTGTGTTTTTGTACAGTGTTAATAAAGTTGTGTTTGTACAGTGATAATAAAGTTGTGTGTTTGTACAGTGTTAATAAAGTTGTTTGTACAGTGTTAATAAAGTTGTGTGTTTGTACAGTGTTAATAAAGTTGTGTTTGTACAGTGTTTATAAAGTTGTGTGTTTGTACAGTGTTAATAAAGTTGTGTGTTTGTACAGTGTTAATAAAGTTGTGTGTTTGTACAGTGTTAATAAAGTTGTGTTTGTACAGTGTTAATAAAGTTGTGTGTTTGTACAGTGATAATAAAGTTGTGTGTTTGTACAGTGATAATAAAGTTGTGTTTGTACAGTGTTAATAAAGTTGTGTGTTTGTACAGTGTTAATAAAGTTGTGTTTGTACAGTGTTAATAAAGTTGTGTGATTGTACAGTGTTAATAAAGTTGTGTTTGTACAGTGTTAATAAAGTTGTGTTTGTACAGTGTTAATAAAGTTGTGTTTGTACAGTGTTAATAAAGTTGTGTGTTTGTACAGTGTTAATAAAGTTGTGTTTGTACAGTGTTAATAAAGTTGTGTGTTTGTACAGTGTTAATAAAGTTGTGTGTTTGTACAGTGTTAATAAAGTTGTGTTTGTACAGTGATAATAAAGTTGTGTGTTTGTACAGTGTCAATAAAGTTGTGTGTTTGTACAGTGTTAATAAAGTTGTGTTTGTACAGTGTTAATAAAGTTGTGTGTTTGTACAGTGTTAATAAAGTTGTGTGTTTGTATAGTGTCAATAAAGTTGTGTGTTTGTACAGTGTCAATAAAGTTGTGTGTTTGTACAGTGTTAATAAAGTTGTGTTTGTACAGTGTTAATAAAGTTGTGTTTGTACAGTGATAATAAAGTTGTGTGTTTGTACAGTGTTAATAAAGTTGTGTGTTTGTACAGTGTTAATAAAGTTGTGTTTGTGCAGTGTTAATAAAGTTGTGTGTTTGTACAGTGTCAATAAAGTTGTGTGTTTGTACAGTGTTAATAAAGTTGTGTTTGTACAGTGTTAATAAAGTTGTGTTTGTACAGTGTTAATAAAGTTGTGTGTTTGTACAGTGTTAATAAAGTTGTGTTTGTACAGTGTTAATAAAGTTGTGTGATTGTACAACGTTAATAAAGTTGTGTTTGTACAGTGTTAATAAAGTTGTGTTTGTACAGTGTTAATAAAGTTGTGTTTGTACAGTGTTAATAAAGTTGTGTGTTTGTACAGTGTTAATAAAGTTGTGTTTGTACAGTGATAATAAAGTTGTGTGTTTGTACAGTGTTAATAAAGTTGTGTGTTTGTACAGTGTTAATAAAGTTGTTTGTTTGTACAGTGTTAATAAAGTTGTGTTTGTACAGTGATAATAAAGTTGTGTTTGTACAGTGTTAATAAAGTTGTGTGTTTGTACAGTGTCAATAAAGTTGTGTGTTTGTACAGTGTTAATAAAGTTGTGTTTGTACAGTGTTAATAAAGTTGTGTGTTTGTACAGTGTTAATAAAGTTGTGTGTTTGTACAGTGATAATAAAGTTGTGTGTTTGTATAGTGTCAATAAAGTTGTGTGTTTGTACAGTGTCAATAAAGTTGTGTGTTTGTACAGTGTTAATAAAGTTGTGTGTTTGTACAGTGTTAATAAAGTTGTGTTTGTACAGTGTTAATAAAGTTGTGTGTTTGTACAGTGTTAATAAAGTTGTGTGTTTGTACAGTGTTAATAAAGTTGTGTGTTTGTACAGTGATAATAAAGTTGTGTGTTTGTACAGTGTCAATAAAGTTGTGTGTTTGTACAGTGTTAATAAAGTTGTGTGTTTGTACAGTGTCAATAAAGTTGTGTGTTTGTACAGTGTTAATAAAGTTGTGTGTCTGCACATTGAGACTTCCACTGTAGTTCCTCCTGCACACTGACGGCTGAGCAGTATTCAGTTGGATGCAATCTACAACGTCACCACTAGGTGGCTCTACAGTCAGTCTGAGATGTCAACCAGAAAAATCAAGAAATCAAAGGTTTGAGATAAAAATTCTTTAATATTATTTCTTCCAAAACGAGGTTTTAAATATAAATGTTTGATTTTGATGAAACAACGGAATCTAATAAATATCATTTATAAATTCAGTTTCAGAAAGCGTTGAGTGACATCAGAGTGTACAGCAGCCAATCAGGGGACAGATATAATAATATAGTTCAGAGACATGAAAAAATATTCAAACTCAACATTTTCTTCAAGTCTAAACTAGTTTTCTAAACCCCGCCCACTACCGTATGACCACAGGAGGAAACCACATCCCACAATCCTCTGCTTCTCCCATTCTGTCTTAATTAATCATCACTAATCAATTACAAATAACTGCAGTGATCATAAACAGTGTAAATATATCAGGATCTATCTGTATTGATCTCCTATCAGTATTGATTACATATCATCTCTCGACCCAGCGGCCAATCAGAGCAGCTCGTACTGCCGCAGGTGCATACGCTGGATGATGTCACGACAGTCGTTGAAGACGCGGCGAATGTTTTCAGTGTCGACGGCACAGGTGAAGTGAGGATAACAGTAATGTTTGCCATCACCGCTCGCCGTGCTGATCCTCTGAGAGACAGACAGGCAGGTTAGAGACAGACAGGCAGGTTAGAGACAGACAGGCAGGTTAGAGACA